ACAGTTCCGACTTTATATTGCACTAACAATACTGTCTGTAATACATTGTTACTAGCTGTATTGAATTAAAAGTTTTTCGTAGACATTTGCTTTTACTAAAAGCCGTTCATAATTGGTTTGTAAGCCTCTTCCGACTCTCATAGGCTTCAGCCAACCCTCATTGCTAACCATATGACACTGTGGTCGTAGCATATTGTGTATTTGATTACGTTACGAGTCATTCGATACTTCCTCTTCTCGTCCGTTCATTCATCGTCAGTCATTAACCATTATGGTGGCAATGATGACGATGACGATGATGATGTGTAGACCTCAACTCTACACCCTATCCGTTCTTCAATCCTCTTAAGTTCTCTTATGAGTTACGATGGCGATCAATACGGACGAACGCAATTATACAATTGACATAGATTTGAATATTCGAGGTCTGATATGTTTGTATGTGAGGTCACGCACAACTCGACCGACTACCACTGTGCGCTCACCGCAAAACCAGTTATGAAAATCGACCGTGTTGCCGTTGGCTTTCACTTTTCTTCTTCATTTCTCGATACGCAAATGTTTACAGAGTGTTTTTCGAGAAGATCCGAAGAAAAGAACAGTTTAGAAAAACGTTGATAGATTGATTTATTGTCTAACTGAATCGCCCGAGTAAACTGAAGTGGTAGTCGCTGTTCTTTTCAAAACAGTGTTATCATTCCATTTGTGATACTCACTGTGTTCCTTTGGCAGGTTTTTTTTCCGGACTACGTCTAGTTCATTTCCTTGAAATTTCGCTATTAAACGTTTATCTTCTAAAGTTCCTGTAAAATTTTGTTCATCTGGTCGATAGCATTTTTTTTTTCATCATAGTTTTTCTTCCGTCTTATTCTCTTGCATTAATGTTTTGAAATGATTTTCTTCTTGCGGGAGCTCTATAACTAGAATCCCTATTCCATCTATGAAGTATGGCCTCAGCGTGATAAGGGATTGTAAGCATAGAACTGCGGTGTACAGCACGCCCCTCGCCTATTTTAACAAGAGTCCCAATATAAAGTAAGGCTGTGTTATTGAAATATCGTCGTTTTTGATGAGGTCTAGCTAATCTTCACATGGGAATATATCCTGCTTCTCGACTCTTGGCGACCATATCTGGTAATGACCTGGGAACGTCCGCCAGAAACGATTATTGTCGGGTCTCCAGGAAAAAAAACCCGCTCCACTAGCAAAAAAACCGGCCTCATTATCCCCGAGAAGGGAGTAGGAGATGGAGGCCTATCTATAAGGAAAGGCAAGGAGACAATCATTGAGAGGGGACCATATAGGATCGTGGAGTTTAGAATAGAAAGTCGGAATTAAAATTATTGGAATCGTCTTACGTGAATTTCTGTTCATGTTACGCCTGTTTTATGGACATTCGTTCATCCTCGAAGGAAACCAATCACCGCCGGGCAAGAGAATCCTTAACAGAAGGCCTCATACATATATCGATCACATCCTAGGACTTGAGTACACTACTTCGTTAGTGCTATCACTCCCTACCGAGTCTTATTACGACCTCTTCGACCTTTGCAAATTTAATAACTTGTGATCAGTTCTGTTTAACGAATATAGGAATCCCACCACCTCTCCCTGCCGTGCGAGAAATATTTGCGGTTATGGTTTTTCAGAAGTAATTGCGGCTAGGTTCATTTTCTATTCTTTCGGTTCCGCAACCGCATACCTAACCACAGAAAAACCAAAATCTGGAAACAATTCACAAAGGACTGCTACTTCTGAAAACCATGTTACGATCAAGAGCATCAACAGTGTACAGGTACATGATCGGAGAACATACCAAGTTATTTCCTTCAAGAAAACGAACAACTCTATGGACATGCCGGATTTCGAAAAAGATTCTAATGTTTGTCTTGGCTGTGAAAAAGCATTCGACGTTACCGAAAGAGGACAAGAAAACTGGACACGAATGTGAATAGCTTGGAACAGGAAGCATTTGGAGAACTCATTTTGCACTCTAGATCGAGTAAAATTGGAAGGTTCTTCGAACACAATACCGGTCTTCATTCTTCTAGGATCCTCAATTATTACACATTCTAAACAGTTTGCAATCGGAAATGTTCAGGGATAAAACCCACTATAATTTGCATTCGGACTCATGAGGGAAGCACCTAACTGATAACTGATCTGAGATAGATCTCAGATCTCGGTATTGAATTGCTGAACTCGAAATTTCTTTACTCGTTTTGCCACTTAGAATAACTGAGCTGAGACCTCAAACAGGCATTTGTGCGGGATTCACAGAATGTCTAAACTATACTATCTATTAGTGTTGCTGGCAGAACATCATGTAAAATTCCCTACTTTATACGCTCTACGAACATTTCGAATTCGTGCTCTAGTTTAATGTACATTATTCGGAAACATAAAGGGCTTATGTAGCACCGTAGTGAGAGGTACTCTACAATGCATACAGGGTCGTCAGTCCAATCCTTCGCCTTCGACAAGCCAAGCCCTTTGTCCCGATAGGGTCGACAAATTGCCATTAGGCTTGTCTAGGAGAATATAAACTGAATTTGTACGTTGGTAGGCCTCCGCAAGTCATTCTATAGGCAAAAATACATTCGTTCAGTCTAGGATGAGTAATACAATTGAATGTATACGTATCCTTCAGTAACTGATCAGTACCGAGCGCTTTTTTCTTTGTCAGTTCTAATAACAAACTTGAATAATCGATGGATTGATGAGAAGGCTATCTGAGAGTGTATTTGAGTGTGTACAAGAAGAACTTTAAGAATATACCTCAAAGGTGTCAAAGTCTTCTCCATGGAGGAAACCTAAATGGCCGATGTTCGTGTTTATGGCTCACGTCGATCACTCGTGTCCACTAGCAGCTGAAAACTACCTTTAAGCACAAAGTAGAACTCTAAGTTATCAGAATACTCGAGCACTTCGTAACCGCTTTAAAAGATTTTTAGAATTGAGGCATTTAAGTATCCTAAAATGTGCTGGAAACAAAGTTTCACATTTTACAATCTCTTTTTAAGCTTTAGAGGAAGCCGTTGGTGTTGGTGAATAGAAATAACTGGTCCTCGGTATTCGTTCGGCGACGAACTCATCCTCTTTTCGCTTCGAAAACCTCTTTCTTTAGGTGGAAAGGTTTTATTGAATCGGTATTTCTTATTATTTTCTACCTACATCGTCATGTCGCTGAACTAGTTTCTACATCATTTCTCATGTCATACGTCTACCAATATATCTAGTTGGTTTAGTTCTAGATTCCGTTCTAAAACAGAACACTAGTGTACTCATTTTGCTTTGGTATTTTAAAAATCTTTCCATAACTCACAAGGAGAAATATACAAATTTCTCAGAGGACTATATTTACTTCAGTACCGTAATCTAGTTTGTCGTCTCAGGGCCAAAAGTTATTTCTGGAACCTTCCAGATAATTCTTTACCTATCTCACATAGTTAAGAAAACGATGCTGTCACTCTGATTCTGGACTATTTTAAATGTTTCTCAATCCAGTATTTTCCATGCCTTACCACCATCTGCTCTTCGTTAGAGGATACTGTCGTCAATTATGATTTACGATTTCTTTTAAATTTCTTCTGTCTCTGAGCTATCTGAGGAAGATTATTCGATTTTATGACGACATCGTTTTAGTTTATCGGTTGAACAATACAGTAACCATTCTGCTTAACTGATTAAGTATTATGGGTGCACGGGGAAATTGGAAAGCTATGAATTTCCATGTTCATGAATATTCTTGAACGATGTAAAAAATGTTCGATCAATTCTATCCAACGCTTACATTTCATAATCACTTATCATACCTTTAGTTTTTCTAAGTATTCAGGATAGAAAATCATTTTTTGGAGAAAAACTTTACTTAGTGGAAAATATGAAGTATCTTACGAACTGATTTCAATGTGTTCAGTATCACCAGTTGGAGAAACGTGTCCATCTCGTGGCGCATCTATATCGGGTACAATTAGTGCAGGAATGCCAGCTCCAGACGATCGAGATCGACCAATAACATCACATCGCTGTAAACTTCATTATCATGATGGACAACAAAGGACATTGTCTCCAGCACATCCACATGCAGCAGTCAGTTCGATTTGTTTTCTTAGGATAAAGTATGAAGGATAAAGCTTGCGGCGTTGGTTAATTTCTGAAGGTTGCCGCATGCATTCGACGTCCTTAACCGTCACAGGAATGATTGAATGCATAAGTGACCTATACGTTGTCCTTCGGTGCTCTACCAGCTTATCAAATCAGTGTTGTTATCTCTCCAGACAAATCTGATACCAATCTACCGACGCCAGAAAGATGAAAGACTTGGGGAACACAGCGAACGGGATCAAACCAGCAACCGATATACTGTGTACTACGGAGTAATTCTAACTACTGGCTACACGCAATCATAACTGCGTTTTGTACCAGTGAAGCGCAATGGTAGATGAATACCGTAATCAGCAGAGAGTTTGTAAAAACATGTAAGTAAAAGCGTACAAATCTGACGTGTTACCAAGTGAAGCATTTAAGGAGCAGATTTTGGTATATTATGGCGAATCTTTTAAATCTAAGATATTTATTACATGATATTGCTAAAGTCGTGGCAATGCTCTTTACAACCGGTCATTCTGGCAGTAGGATGACCACAAAAACTTCGCTATGGTTATTTAAAAATAGCTTTAAATAATACGGTACCTATGGGATGATTTTATACTCATAAATATCACGAACTTTTAACTGCCAGGCTTGTCTAAGAAAATAAGAAACACCAGCTTAACACAACACTAGGCCACCGAGAGTCTAAGGCCAGGTGTGCGTTCAGTCACGTACTATCCGAATCGGTAGAACATCTTTGAAAGGATTGGTCAACTCAAGAAGTTGAATTCCTTGTTCTGTGAGCTCCAAATGCGATTTTTCTTTGTTCTGTAGATGTATTACAGGTACTACTTACATCTAGACTATAGAAAATCGGTGATTTCTAGCCATGTGCTCTGGATGATTTGCTAAGACCGGCGAAGTTCGACTTCATTCTAGGATCACAACAGCTTATAGATCGACATACACAAGAGTTACACGCCTGGAATCCGGATGATCGGTTTGTTTTTATTTATGCACTAATAAATTGATCTAAACATTGTATTGGTATTTATATAAATAAATCTTTTAGGTCTTTAAATATATTCGTTAAAGATGACGATTGTTTCACATTCCATAGGCATCCTGTGGCTCAAAGTACTGATTGTATACGTGGGAAGGTTAGTTGTTGGTGCTTCGAGTCCGTCTTTAAATCTTTACTAAATCGAACCATGAATGCATTAAACTTTATGTTTTCATTTATGGATTGCCTATAATTGGTAAGGTACAGTTATCTGGGTTTAATACTGCTGAAACAAATTGGGTCCATGACAAGCCTAAAATATTTCCTGTAGTGTTCATCTTTGCACAGTCTTCGTGTTGACCACACTTTTTTGTTTCTCTTTGTCTTTTTTTCTTTCAAATACCATGCCTATATGGCTTTCATACACCACCGGCACATTCGTAACTTTGTGTGTTGACTTCAATGCATTCATGGTCGAAGATAGCTTAGCCTTTCAACATCAAAGCAGCATAACTGAGCACGTAATGAATGATGTTAATTGAAATAAAAACCAAATTAAGATGGTTGGTTTCTGTACGACCGGCCAACAAAATACCATTTTACTTACTCAGTTTGTTATTTCTTCGTCTGCTTTTCTAATAATCTATTTTGTTTTTCATTACTTCGATTGATCCTTTGTAACGTGTTCTATTACAGGTAAGCTTCTTCTAACAGTGATCTTGGGCTTTCGTTATTTGGTTTTTGAAATGGCTAACATTCTTTTCAACTCATTGTGTTTTGGTCTGTATAGTACAGCAGCTGAAAAAATATTCTCACTTATTATATATATATATATATATATATATATATATATCCTCCTAACGGTTTACCGCCTCACAGTGGCTAGGTGTTTCTAGGTGTCGGGCTGCGATATACAGCGGTGGGATTCGTTCCCCGGCAGGGCTTACCAAGCTGAGAAGGAGTCCGGCGTTTCCATCAGGAAGCCTAGCTAAGAGTAAACCAATCCCAGGATCCACCACCTTCGTGGTATCAAAGTCACATGGTGGTAAATCTTCCTGATCCACAAGGGCTGCTACTGCCTCCCCCCACCGTGATGGTTATGATCTGGGGTAGATTTTGGCCAGGTTGATCTCGGGGAACTCTGAAAAACGAACATTGTGCTGGGGCCAGGAGAACCTGTGAAGACGGGCCATCCAAGTAGGTAATATGTCGAAATATCATTTTAGTAGTGAAAGATAATAGAGGTTGTGACGTTGATAATTATATATCATTTGTTTATCACATCTTTTTTGCATACCATAACCTAACCAAGAGCTATTTGAAATTTCAGTTACCAAAATTTTCTGAAGGTATCTTGTTGTAAAAAAGGGAAAAGGCTGAGATAAAGGTAAAGCGGGTGTCTCAGTGGTGCAGTGGGTAACACTTGAGCGTCCGGAAAGGGTGATAAGGGGTCGGAATCTGCCCAGGGGTTTGAGTTTCGCAAGTATCTCTACATTATTGCGATTATGTTTTTGTCCTCGTTCTTTTCCATAAAAATTTTTTCAATCACTTTAATTTACAGATGGGATATACGACAGGCTTTCATGTTTGGCAAATGGAATGGCCACAACGACAGCGAGGAACACATGCCGTAGTAGGGGTGGCAACAAAGGCTGCTGCACTTCATGCTATGGGTTATACGTCGTTGATAGGGACGAATACCGAAAGTTATGGATGGGATCTTAGTGAGTGATTTGATAAATTGCTGAACTGAATTGACGCTGATACATAAAAATAAAGGGACGCATATAGCGCAATGGTTAGAAGTGCCATGCAGTACACATGGGATCGTTTCCGAGCACCAGGCTCACAAAGTCGTCCATCCATCCGGATTCTGCAAACTAGTGCCAGACCTGTCTGTGAGAATAGCAGCACTGACTCGATACATGCATTCTACTTTTAACGAGGCTTAATGAGGTCGAATGCATGGGCACTCTCAGGGTTTGACCAACTCTGAGAGCTTTATTCTTTATATAGATATAAATATATATGTGGAACACCATGAGTGGAAGTGCTCTGCAATACTCATAAGTGGTACAAGCTAATCTATAGGCCTCGACCCTCACTCAACTGCTATAAGACTGATCTGGGATCTGGTAAGATAACAACACCAGCATGGTCTATCAGTGTACTACTGAAAGTCACTAGATAGGACAGGTACACACTTGATCATTTTTGTCATGGTCAATGAAGTCAAAGCACATATCACCTAAGGAATTGATTGAACGCCTTACCTTCTATATAAAAGTGAAAAACATCTGTACCCACTCGTCTTTCACTGGTCGTATTGAGTATTTTAGGCGAATGCCATGAAAGCCTACCATTTCCCGCATGATATCGTGACAGAATTGTTCAGGATCAGGGATTCTTCTTAATCAAGGGATAGAAAACTTTTAGTTTGAGACGAGGAAAAATAAACGTCTATGAAATTTGTTTTTCACTGTTCAGACTGAACCGAAATGATTTGTTTCTCATTGTTCAGACTGAACCATCTTGAGCTACGTTCAACGGTCAGATATCATGGTTTTTCTATCTTACTGTAGTGAAAATCGATTTTTCGTCTCTAAAAGTCAGTACTTTGTGGGCGTGGCTTATTGGTCAAGTTTGCCACTGGTGTGGATTTTCGAGAAATTTTTTCGACGCTTTTCGACATTTTTCGATTTTCGCTACCCAGTTATCGTGGCATCGTCATCCCTTTTAGGAAAACAAAGTCCTTCCTGGATATTTTTTTAAACTTCTCAATGCCAACGAAGATTAATATTGGAGCAGGTGGAAGTTTTTTTATACATTGTAACGAATCCAGTGATTACAATTAAGTAACAAAGCGTTGCGCACTAGAAAAAAAACATTTAGCTTTTCTTCTGGTCGACGAAAGATCGTTTTTTTTCCTATACCGTCGGATAAGGAAAGGACGCGTATGGCACAGTGTTCGGAGACGCTCTGCGATATACATAGAACCGATCCCTGCGCCTCTGGCTCACCAAGCCCTCCATCCTTCTGGAGTTGGGGCAAATTGATACCAAACTTCTATGATACGATAGCACTACTGGCTCGATACATCGGTAAATCACCGAGAGTCATTGTAAAGGCCAGATATGCATTCAATTACCTCCAAGCAGTTCTTAATGAAGTCGAATGCGTGGCGTATCCCTCAGAAATTGATCTACGCCAAGAGCTTTATCCTTTACTCTTTTACCGTCAGGTTAAAATATAGCAACACTGTGCTACTTTGGAAATGAAAACTATAAGAAACACCTGGTAGCATCAATGTTTGGTATAAAAGTGAAAAAAAAAACAACTGAACGGAATTGAAAACTACAAGAAACACCTGGTAGCACCAGTTGTTTTTTTTCACTTTTATACTAAATACTGATGCGAAATCATTTGAATGGATTTTATGTTTGTTATTATCACGTTCCTGTAAAAATTAGGCCAGGGATTTTATATACCGTTAGCTTATACCAACAACCTCCCTACGGTCTACTGCCTCATCGTCGCTGAGAGGTGTTCCTGGGTGTCGGCCTGCGATCTACAGCGTGGGGATTCATTTCCATGGCAAGGTGTCTCAAGCCGATTTCGGTGTTTCTATCAGGAAGCACTGCTAAGAGTGAACCAATACCAAGATCCACCGCCATCCTGGTACCAAACTAGTCGCATGGTGAAAATTTCCCTTCGATCACCAAGGGTGGGTACTGTCTGTGGTGGTGACGACCTAGGCAGACTTTGGCCTGGGTGACCTCGGGGCTGCAGGGAACGCAATGGCTAAACAAGCAAAATTCCGACAAAATGGAGATTGTGCTGGGGCGCGCACAACCTGTGAGGACGGGGCACCCAAGTATCCAAATATACCAACAAAAACTGCTATGAAAAAATTCAATGTTGTGGTGACCTGCTTTGAATGATTTGAGTTCAGCTCGTGGTGAATGTCATCATGACTCGAAGAATTGTGCTTCATGGCAGTATCCAACAGGAGTACCATTACGGCCTGCCTACATCCCGATTCCTGATAAGGTAAATTTAAATTCAGTTAATTTACTTTCTTTAGCCTGTTCTTTTCATGAAATTCTTTTTTTCTGCATTTGGTATATTTTTTTTTCATATATTCTCCATAAGTGTGTGCATGTAGCGCATGGTTAGAGACGCGCTGCAATGCACATAAGTTCGATCTCGCCGCACAAGCCCACCAAGCCTTCCACCCTTGAGGTCAAAAAATTGGTACTAATTATCCGAAAAGGTAACAATACTGATTCGATAGATTAGTAGGCCCCGCCAGTCGTCGTATAGGCCAAGTATACACTCAATCATCTCTACTATGAAGATACTACGAATGGAGTCGAGTGCATGGCGCATCCGTAAGGGATTAATCAGCGCCGAGAGCTTTTTTAGCGTTTTGTTCCGCATTTCTAAAAATCACTGCCGAATACTTGCAAAATTAAGACAGGAAGTCATCGTTATCGCTTTTTCTTCGAAACTCTCCGTTAGCATTTTCATTGTTGAAAGGGTCGTTGAAAGCCGGATGTTTAACATTGATTTCGTCCATTTGTTCTCGTTCTTCTTTTTCTTTCCACTTTTTAAAATGTTTCTAAAGTCCTTAACGTTCATATCACACTTGTAAGCCATTTCCATACTACCGAATTACTGCGTGACTGTCGTATTCAACCAGATGTTTTTCAGTTTTACTGTATTCTGGATATGGACGACGGCTACATGGCATTCGCTACCGATGAACACTACTTGGGTGTTGCGTTCCGAAATCTCCAAGGACGAACATTGTATCCGATAGTATCCGCTGTTTGGGGACATTGTGAAGTGACAATGAAATATCTTGGCGGAATCGAACGTGAGCGACCAAAATTTGAACCATTACCATTCTCACCAATTCTTCGTAATGTCGTTTTACCATGGACAATTTTTTCACCTGATGAGCACTTTGCTATATCTGCTGAGAAATCTGATGACGATAAAGAAAAAAGAGGAATGCCATTTGATCCAACAGCACCGGCTAGTTTTTTATTGCCACCACCGTCTCGCGCTCGCTATCATCCACCAGCTGAAAAGATGCCTCTTATTGAATACAAGTACCTTTGGCCGACTGTTTTCGATGACTGAAGCTATACAACCATCATATTCTGTTATGACATTACTGGTTGCTGTGTACTTTATTAGTAAGACTGAATAAGAATGTATGCAAAATTTACATATCGATTGGGTCGAGCGCTTGCCATATATTGTTCTTTTCATCATTGTAGTATTCTGTTATCAGTTTCGTTGCCGTGAATTCGATGATGTTAGTAGACTTTACTGTGTGGTATTGATGATTCCGGTCTCATTCCTGAAGTTGATGATCGGCTGAATGATTCCATGTCATTAACTTAGGTACAACTTTAACGTAAGGTCGTTGATTTTGATATTTTTCAAACCGACCTTCATGGAACCTCGGCTTTATCATCAATAACTTCCATTTTTAAGCTAATACGAGGTTGTTACCAAACATTTATTCAGTTAACGTTTCGACATATTCGTCTTCCTGAGAGCCGGTGATCCGAGTCGATGGTCCACAGTAGTTCGTGTTCTGGACGCGGTGTCTTCATCTTTGTATTGAGTCGCATCATCTTCAGTGGTGTATCGCTCGAATGAAGCAATCTCGCTCGGCGATGTTTTTTTATATATGGCGGTTGTTGTCGACAATGTTTCTTTTTTTAATTTTACATGACTCGTCATCACACTTTGCTGTGCAGATCCCAGCACTTGCACTCTATTCATTTTCTTCGCATTCATCGTCCACAGTGATCTTCGAACATTTCGCGTGTTGTTTCAGCTGCTGCTTGATGATTTCTTCTTATAGGAACTATTCATCAAATACAACCACAAGATTGCTGAGACATTTGCAAAACTCCGGACCGCAGGTGTCTGCGGCGGTGGGGAACGAACGCGCTATTGTCCTTTCCGGGGAGTAACACGTTCACCACCGCGCCATGTGGGTCCTTCGTTTCGCCTGTCTCTCAGCTAGTTCTATCGATCTGAGCCGTTAGCAATCACCCGTCAGCGAGATTGATCTGGGGAGCCCACATCGGCATTGAACCCAGTTAAGCTGAGGCTGTAGTTGAATTCACAATGTTTATTTTTTTATTTTCTGCCTTCTATTATTTTTATGGCAGGGTATTAAGCGAAATACAGCCCCCACTCTATCAGATCGTGCTAGAAGAAAAAACCTTTGGAACCGCTCTAGGCGCTGTCTTTAGTTCCCTCTGGCAAAATTCCACCCACTACACAAGTAATCCATGCAGCCGATGGACATTTGTCTTCAAATGTTCGCAGTGTTCGTCCAGTGTACATCCAGTTCGTTCATATCGCCTAACTCGTTCATATGCTTCGCTCTACTGTTATTGTTGTTATTGCTACTATTATCATAAAAGTTGTAACCCAGCATTCGACTCGTTCGACATACAAAAGACACGCGTGGCAGCTGCAAGGACTAATATTCACAACGACTAAGTATTCATATAAAGTTGGGGGCTCGACGCCGCAACACTTCTTCTTCTTATGAATGTCGTAGAATTCTGATCATGTCGAATCTCCTTGCATTCTTGGAGATAGCCAGGCTAAGGCGTTGACACGTGGATTGTAAGGGAGCGTTGGGGCGGGGTCGGACTAGCGCCTCTTGCTTCCTGATCTGTGGTATCGCTAGCCACTGCGATATCTCCGCCTCTAACAATGATTGGTAATGATTGTCCATTGATCAAAACTTATTTTCTTCGGACATTCCATCCACCAGGAGTCGATTTTATGTTAGCTAGTGGACGGCGAATAACTGACGACTACGGAAGACGAAGACGTTAAAACGTTAGCCTAATAAACATTTCTACCAACCTCGTGTTAGCTCAATAATCCAAGAACGTAGTGATTTTGATACCGAGATTAGTGCACTGTATAGTAGCTCTTAGCTTTTGTGTACGCTTTTGTTATTTGGTCAGCGTGGCTGATTGTGTGATTGGCTTTGATGTGATGAGTGATTGTGGTGATTTTCAGCTTCTCCACGACCTTTAATGGACATCTGTCGACGAGCGATTCGTGTCGAAATGGGACGTCATCGTTTGCATCGAGTTGATGAATTACGGCTACCACCCCCATTAAAAAGATTCATTCTATATCGAAAATAGTCGTTCTAGGCCTTTTTGCCACTTTTTTCTCATCCTAGAACTTCTCCATAGCAATTCCGTTCCTCGTTCCCCATTTGTCTACGGGTCATGTCAATCATGCCGAATAGTGCCGCTTCCCTATCCACAGTATAAAAATACTATCTACCGCCTTCCTACGGTGCTCATCGTTATGTCGCGCTTTCTTGTCTCTGAAAACAAGACAAAACAAAAAGGTAATTGTTGTTTTCTACAGTTTTACTACTGTTTTTTCTTTGAAACAGTAGTCCACAATAGTTTGTTGGCTGGTTGGCTGGCCTGCTGGCTGGGTGGCCTACCGGTTGCTGTTGTACCTCCTCATTGTATTTTCTTTTACTAGCTTCTAATTCCCATTTTACTTTTTCTGTCATAACACATTTACACTGTAAATATGCCCTTTAAAGCTTTGATCGTAATATTTCGACAATGCAAAGACATGGCTAATTTTATCGCTTTATGTTTTATGTTGTCATTACTACTATACTTTACTTTATTATTACTTTATTATACGCCATTTGATGTTTTTTCTTTCTTGGCGAACTTTCGACTTTCCTCATTCACACACACACACCTCGGTTTCGGTGTTTATTCATTGTCGTTTGTTCAATCGTATTGTTTTAATCGTTTGCGAAAACCATCTATCCTATTTCATTAGTCATAACAATTTGCAGTTTCTTTCTTTTTTGCCACTAATCTTATCATATAGAGGATGACATACACATAGAAGATGAACACAGCCCATGAGATGTACGTGTTTTTGAAAAATTGTCACTGTATTTTCATTTTTTTCCAACGATCTTCCGTATATGCCTTCTGTTGCCACTAAATCCTGTACATGTATGTCTGTGTGTTTAAATGATTGTGCATTTTTGCATTTTTCTACCTATTTGTATGTTCACTTCCCTTCTCACTTTCATCATTTGGTGTCCTCCTCCTCCTCCTCCTCCTCACCTGTTGTTATCTCCTCCGTCTGCTTCCATTTTATAGTACTTGTTACAAGAAATTAGTACTATTTTATGTTTTATAATTTCATTGCATAAGGACCGGTGATATTTTTTTTTGTAGCTTTGCATTTCTTGTGAATTGACGATAAATTCGTTTTAATGTTCTGAACTGAATTCATTGAATAAGCTCAGTGAGAATGTGAAAAATCCTTACATAGACGGGTTTCGTCCTTTTCACATGAACGACGTTTAGGCCTAAACGCTTCGGCGCTTTGGCTCATTGTTCCGTGACCACTGCCCATGTAGGCGGTCTAGTTCGTGTTTGGCTTCGGATACGACTTGAAGGACTCGTGTCCTTTTTTTCTTAGACACATTGGATGCTGGGATTGTCTGGAATCCAGAATCGATAGCTGTGCTAGACCATTTCCAGGGCTTTTCTGAAACCAGTCACTGACGATTACGATTTTCTGGGAAAACTTATTGCTTCCTCTATAGGATTCTTCGAGGATGATAATGATTGTTGCACTTATTTTGATCGATAACGATAAGCAAGGCTGGGTAGCGAAGGACAGTAGGAAATAATCCAGTTAAATTTCAAAGAGAGGCTCCATTTTCTGGGTTGTAAACGTGAGGGTTTCTCCTCATGACAAAGATTAGCTGGAAAAAGAGACTTGAACTCTGGTGCTGTTGTTGGATGGAGGCTTCTTGTTTGCTCTTGACAATCATCTTTCCCAGTGTTTTCTGTCCTCAATATTGAAGTTAATATTGATGTTTTATACAAAAACATTCGGTAAAGGTAGTAAGTTAGGAAGAGGATAAATTACTTGATGAAGAGTACGGTAATGAACAGCTTACTGAACCAGGAATGATTGCCAACTATTGTAATTAGTTAATTTAATAATCTTGTCCCCTCCCAACGGTTTACCGCCTCATCGTGGCTGGGAGGCGTTCCTGGGTGTCGGACCTCGATGTAAAGAGAGGGATTCATCCCCTGGCAGGGTCTCCCAAGCTAAGAAGGAGTCCGGCGTTTTTATCAGGAAGCCTAGCTAAGAGTAAACCAATACCAGGATCCACCACCGACCTGGTATCAAAGTCACTTGGTGGTAAATCTCCCTCTGATCCACAAGGGCTGCGACTGCCCATGGTGGTGAAGACCTGGGGCAGACTTTGGCCAGGCTAACCTCGGAACTCCAGGGAACCATAATGGCTTACTCAGCAAATCTCCGAAAAATGGAGATTATGCTGGGGCCCGCACAACCAGTGAGGACGGGCCATTCAAGTATCAAGTAATATTTATTTATGAGATCTTATAAACTGATCTTCTTAAGCTGACGCGAGGTTGGTACAGATCTTCGTCGTCGTAGTCGTTGTTTTTGATGTTATTGATCGATGGCTGACGTTTCGGCGACTTCGCATTCCTCAGAGCCTGGACGTACTTTATGTTAGAATACTTTTTATTATTCGGTGGAAAAGAAGGTTAAGGTATTAATGAAGATCAAACTTTCAAATAGACTCCATATTGAACAGAAAGGCCACTCACCGTGATGTTACGTGCGGGACTGGCCCACACGTAGTTCACGTGGAGTCGCGAGCAAGACACGCCCCGGGGTCAAAATATCATTTTGAAATAGGGCGCCAGGTCACGTGTGATAGTGAGGCATTCGTCCTTCCGGTTCATCTTCGGATTTTTGAAATTTATCCAAAACGCCTCAAGAGTTTTGCGCGTTGATGTTTTTGATTCCTGCGCTAGGATCCGCACATTCACTTCAAAATCATCACCGTTGTGTTTTTGTGCCCTATGCGTACCTAGAGGGGTGTTTAAACGGATTTTAGCTTTCCCATCTCGATGTTCTTTTATGCGGACACAAAGTGCTCTACCCGTTTCCCCGATATATTCCTCGCCGCATGCATTACATGAGATCAAGTATATTATACCTAAACTCATGCAATCCCCGTCTCTCCCGTTAGGACAGATCATACAGTTTTCTGAGCTGCACAAACGATCATAGAGACGGTTTCGAACTAACTGGCGGCGTAGGGTATTGGGTGGGATCTCAATGATCGTTACATAATTTTCAAGACCACTTTTTCTTAAGCATTTTTTAATGGCGTGACTTACTTCATTTGATATGAAGGGCAGATTAAAGAGGATCCTACTTTCGTTTGAAATATTATTTTGGGAAACTACCCAGTGTTTTCCTCTAACCCGAGTGGCTTCTACTTCGTAGCCATTGGAAATGGCAATTTTTCGTGCCAGGTTTCGCGATTCCTTCCTTTCCTCTTCTCCTGTACACACATTTTTAGCCGTACGATACATATTTTTGATAAGTGCTTTTTTCATGTGTGAAGGATGAGAGGAGAGGCAGTGGACTAGAATGTTTTTACTACTTGGCTTGCGATACCATTTTGTTACATAGCCACTTTCTGAGAGCTTCATTTGGATGTTTAAGAATGGAAGCCAGTTCTCGGTAGGTTTTTCTCGTGTAAATTTTATATACTCTGACTGTCGGTTTAATAATTCAAAGCACTCATCCATCTGTTCTTGTGTGGAACAGACGATGAAGCAGTCGTCTATGTATCGACAGTAGAGTAAGGGTCGGTGATCGAGAACTGGAGCTTCCACCTTAGAAATGAAAGCGATGGCAAGGCTTGGTGCTAAACGCTGCCCCATCGCCAACCCTCTAATTTGTGCAAAATATTTTCCAGACCACCTAAAGATTGAACAACTAAGACACTGTTTTAAGAGGGTCATTAGTTGTGCAATCGACAAGCCGTGCATTTTTATTTTCTTTTCATGCTCTACGAGCAACTCGAGAATGGCTTGCATTGCGGAGTCATTGGACACGTTGGTATAAAGTGAACTAACATCGAATGACTCCATTATATGCGTGCTGTTTGGTTTCGCGCGCCTTAGGTGATCTAGAAATATTTTGGTGTTAGGTAGATGGGTTGGAATGAATTTTAGCAGCTGGGTTAGGATGAGATTCCTACAACACGTCAGTGAGTCATTGATCATATTGTCCAAGCAATTTCTTATCCGCTAAAGCTTCTCTAAAATTGCTATAATTTCCATTCGATTCCTCTTAAGACGATTTCACCTTTGAGTTAAGCGATTAAGGACTAGACTTTGCACATCCGTCGTGGGATTCCGTGGAGTTCCAGCATATCTTCATCAAATATCATTAGAGATGATTGAGAGCACATCCGGCCAAAAGAATGACTTTCAGTAGCTTTCCGATGTATCAAGTCAGCGCTGCTATCTTCCCAGACAGGTCTGGCATGAATTAATCTAACCCAGTGGCATGGGAGACTGCGTGAGCTCGCGGCGCGGATCGAACTGATGATGACCGCGTGTGTACTACGTGGCACCTTGAACCACTGCACTACACGTCCTAAATTTCTGGACTATGTAAATAACTTTAAAAGCTCGCTGAGCCACTGATAATTCGATTTGCAAGGGGACATTCGAGATATCTCATGTATTCGTGTACACGTGGTGTCTCCGAGCACTTTGAAAATGTATTTTCCCGCCATATCCGTACATTTAAAAGTGTTTTCACGATTTTTTTCTTTGAAATAACCTTATACTCTTTTTTAATTAACACCTTAATGACAACATAGCTCTAACTTTTTCTTTATTGTCTAGGGCTTTTTCCATGGCAGGGTTAGGTGTTGCAAAACTTACATTATTTTATTATTGTATTTATTAGAAATATTGCATAACTTTTATCCAGCGCCTATTATATTTATGGTTTTTAGTGTTATATTAGTTGTTATGATAAAAAGAATTATTTAAAAGATTAGATAGGATTCTAGATATGATTTGTAAAGGTAAGGTTATGGTCTTAGGCTAATGGTGGGTTATGTGGGGGGAGGGGGTGTAGGGTGGGGCTTAGGGTGTTCTGTTGTTATTTATTATTGTATCACTTTCTACCATGTCGTTCATACATGTCATATCATATTAACATATCACACTGTGGTTGTATGATGTTATAATAGTTATTTATTATTATATTTGTCATCTATCTGTTTATTATCACTTAGGATACTTGGACGGCACGTCCTCACTAGTTGTGCGGACCCCAGCTTATTCTCCATCTTCTAACAATTTTGCTGGTTTAGCTCTGCCCCGGATCATCCAGCACCACCACAGGCAGTCGCCGCCATTGTGTGTCAAGGAGAGATTTGCCACCGTGCGAGCAGCTTAGTTTACTCTTAGCCGGGCTTCCTGATGGAAACGCGGAATTCCTTCTCACCTTGGGAGAACGTGCTGAGGGGACGGATCACCCCTGTTGACATAGAAGCGCGACACCCAGGGACACCTAAACACGATGAGGCAGTAAACCGTTGAGACAGTTTATTATTATTATTTTACTTACTGTCATTTTTTGTTACTATTTTACTAATTATTATTTATTATTCGTGCTATTTTTATATTTATATCATGTACTCACTTGTATTACTACTTGATTTTGCATACTTCTTGACAATAGATGTTTTCTTGTGCCATTTCTTCCCCTGCTAAATCGATTTTGCTCTGCAGATCGTAATTTACGCTGTAATTCTTAGCAATTTTTCACTGCATGTGAACTTAGCTACCATTCATTGTGGAAGCCGAGAGCCAAGATTTCCGGATAAGTCCTTGAGTTTAAATCCTTCAGGGTAATTCTAATCCCAGAGTTTATTACTAGTTTGTTAGCGTGATCTGTTATCTGGAAGTCGCTCTGTCCGGGAATCCGAAGGTATCGGCAACCCTGTTGCTGATCAGCTTGGATTCAGTCACAAGTTGAAATTCCCTTCTCAACCAAGTACTGATAGACGTTGCTTGCCTGAAAAATACTGAACATGTTATGTCTTTTATAAGTTACACTTTACTGTGGAGTACCATTGAAACAACTTTGTGACATGTCTTTCTTTTTGTGGTTTTCGTTTTGTTAAAGTCTTCTTGAAGTTTCTGTAAGGTCTCTAACATAAGCAAATTTCTTAAGTCACTTTCAATCGGTGAAAAGGAATAAGTACGGATATGTCGTGAATAGGGATATGTCCTGGATAGGAATATGTTCTGGTGGGATTATGTCCCATAAGTTTGTTAAGCTCCTCAAAGGGGAATTGTAAGGTTTTTCAAATAATTGGTCGATTATGAAAGTGTTAAAGTTGTCGGGAAGGCAGAAGAATCGTCTTAATGGACTTCGAAATTACTTATTTAGGCTTAGGCTTATAGCGAGAACTTTTACAGGCATCGGAAGTAGTGTGGCCCATTGTCGGCAATGACTTCGTTGACAGTAACCCGTATTTCTTTAGTCTTTACCGTTCCATTTAGGGTTAGAAATAGGACAAGGATTAGGATCTAGGATATGGCTGATAACATAGTCCGCCAGCTATGTGTGGAATTTAGGAAGAAGAGAGTTCTATCTGGTAAAGGTGAGTAGAGAGGTATCGATTGGGTTCATTCCTCTACCACATTTAGCCGTTTATTGATTTCATCATCATAAATACTGGATTCTTTTCCTTATTATCCTTTCTTTTCCTCCTAACTGACGCTATTTAGCATCGGATGCCCTCTTCGAAAAAGCGGATGCTCACCAAAAACTACAGCAATCAAAATTCGATAGATATCTTGAAGGTTAGTGATATTTCACAGTTTTGTCCAATACTCCTCCACTGTTAGCTCCAACTTCTCTTCAGTGAAATCGAAGCTTTCAAAAGAGGATATCATTCGATTAGAACTGGAAAAGGAGCAACAACAGCTACTTGAGGCTGAACAAGAAATGGCTGCAGCTGAACAATCGTTTGTTCATCGTTGAAGTTTTCCAGTGCTTTCATGTGGAAATATCTAGTGACCTTTCTTCAAGGATAGAAATTTTTTTAATTAGATGGAAAGCTCTTTAATGCGTATAGAAGAGCTTTTAAGAACTTCACCTAGATAAATGACATCACTTAAGCTTTGTATTTTCTTAAGAATGTTAGTCACTTCCAGAGCAAATGACGTTGAGAAGCGCTTGCAAACTTGTGTCGCTGAACTGAAGAGCAATGTCTCAATGCTTCGTAAATCTGAGCTTGACTCTAGTAAAGAACAGCCTATGAGAGAAATGTATCAGGACATGTTAGAGAAGCTCTCAGAGTTGGTGAGGTTTCTACGTTTCTTTATTTCCTTGACAGCACCCAGTCCCTTCAATTTACTAAAGTCCTCTTTGTCATAACTGTTAACAGAGCAGTGGAACAGTTATATATGGTTTCTGGAAGCAATTCTAGCTAGTATTAGGAATCTTCCCAGCGGTTTACCGCCTCATCGTGGGTGGGAGGTGTTTCTGAGTTTCGAGCTGCGATGCACAGCGGAGCGATTCATCCCCCGGCAGCGTCTCTATGGCTGAGGAAGAGTCCGGTGTTTCCATCAGGAAACCTAGATAAGAGTGAACCAATACCAGGATCCACCATCGTCCTGGTGTCAAATTAGTCGCGTGGTGGCAAATCTCCTGATCCACATGGGTGGCGACTGCCTGTGGTGATGAAGACCTGGGGCAGACTTTGATTAGGCTGACCTGGGAACTCCAGGGAACCACAATGGCTAAACCAGCAAAACACCGAGAAAATGGAAATTATTCTGGACCCTGAAAAGCCAGAGAACACAGGTTATCCAGGTATCCAAGACATCGGGAATAGTTCACCTGGAATGTGAGTAGTTCCAATAGTCGTTTACCGACGTTGTTTATGTTAGAGAACAAAGGTCCAGATATTTTCAGCATATTAAGTCTCGTGAGTCACAAAGATGTTCTTTAGTCAATGAGCGTTTGGTGCTAGAGGAACAAGGTCAGTTCTGTTAAGTGCTATTCCAATTCTTCACTCCATTTCATTTTTATTCTACAAGTCGTGTCGTTGTTTTCCATTTAGCTGTAACCCTTAGCTACGAAGTAAACTTTCCTGTCACAGGATTTTTAAATCATATTCCCTTCCCGGTTGATTTATAGCCAGATATTCTCCTATTTTTCAGTGTTCTGCTCTATTTGCGATTGCAAATGCCTGAGTATTTTCTTTCTATTGCAGTGAAAATTCCTCTTTAGATGTGCACTGGTTTAAAGATTTCTCTTCAGTATCATCGCTAAGTATGAAGACGAGTCAAATCCGAGATGAGGTGGATCGCCTATCGGCTGATTTGGATGCAACTGGATACGAAGGACTACTTCACGCAACTCGTCGTTCAGCAATGTAAGTCTTTCTTGCGTTCTTCCCGTACTTATCAATCTTACACTTTTTCCAGGGCCCTTATGAAGGCTAAATATACAGGAATTAAGAATGAACTACTACGACTTAGACTCGGCACCCATACATTACGTATTCGTGCTCGTTCTGCTCAATCGATATCAGCTTTGGAGAAATGACTTTACTGATCCTGGTTTTCAGTTAAACCAGGAAGCCTTGATATTTTCTAGACCTGCATCGATTTCTAGAACGTGACGTTTGTCTTTCCTTTCAAGTTATTTTATATTGCTTTCTTATAGCGCGCTACTTCTCAGTTGTAAGCAATCAACCGCAAGTAGTTTTCTTGGTTAACTAAGAAATAAGGCCTAAAGTGTGTTGTATTTTATGTCATGTTCCTATTTTCTACCTTTCTATGGTTTCTTACGATGTGTTTTGTCTACTACGTCCCTGAGTGGACCACCGTAGATGACAGTGGTCTGAAGGAACGTGCTTCATGTCGTTTTCACTTCCAACACAGTTGTTTTTCATTTAGTACTCTGTGAATCTGGACCTGTGAATACTGTCAATATATTTGTTTTTGTCAGATCTACAGAATTTCATAGCATCATTTACCAACAAAATAACAATGGTTTTGTAAAACCAGAACAAAAGAAAAAAAGGTCAATTCACATGAGGAATTTGTCCGAGTTCTGTGTCAAGTACATCTCGCTTCTTTTTGTGTCGTAAAACATTTTGTATGCGGCACTGATCTCGTCCTTTGTAACCTAGAAGATGTTGCATAGAAATTTCAACATACTCAGACAACAACTTAGTTTAAAACCGAGTTTCGGAAAAATAAAGTGAACTCTACAATACGTTACTTACTTAGATATCTGGATGGCCCCTTTTCACTAGTTGTGCTGGGCCTAGTATAGTTTATAATTGCTGGTTTAGACATTGTGGTTTGCTGGAGTCCCGAGCTAAGCCTGGCCAAAGCTTGCCCTAGTTCGCCACCACCACGGGCAGTCGCAGCCTTAGTGGATCAGATGGAGATTTGCCTCCACGCGACTAATTTGACACCAGGATGGTGGTGGATCTTGGTATTGGTTTTCTCTTAGCTAAGTTTCTTGATGGATACGCCGGACTCCTCAGCTTAGGAGACCCCGCTGCGGGGACGAATTACCTCGTGTATATCGCAGCCCGACACCCAGGAACACCTCCTAGCCACTATGAGGCAGCAAACCATTGGGAGGCTACCAATATCAGTATGTCAAATTCTACAAAATTCTGGATAACATATATTGCTTCGATTTTAACAAAGGACATTAGCAGATACGTTGCTCACCATCGGTTTCTTCCTACGTTCTCGCAGAACGTTTGACACAGCGATTATTTGCATTCCATATCGCATGGACGTCTCACCCACTATCATTTTCAGCAAATTAAGTGCTCCAGCCTCCATTCTAAGTGCAATTTTATATCAGAAAGTCGATCTGAATGACAGAAAGTGCCACGGCCAAAAACATTACTTACCTAACTCCTTCTTCATCGGCACGCAAACTTAAAATTCGACCGATTTCATCACTTGTATACGGCTTTGTTGCAATACCAATAAGGCGATCAACGAGATCAGGAGGAAGGCAGTAATTGGCGGTTACATCAGTTCCACGGACGACACCTCTATCTCTAAACCGCACTGGCTTTTAAAAGACAAACTTATGCTTAGACAAATGACCAGTGATAAAAATAAAAGGATAAAGCTCTCGGTGTTGATCAATCTCTAAGAGATGCGCTATGCATTACAGTGAGTAAATAAACAAGTCACCTGTTCGTCGCCATGATGAGCAAGGGGCTGAGTTCAGATTCCATAGCTCTATTTAAGAAAGAGAAACATTCTAGATCTAGCAAGTGGGCCTCATCAATAAACAGCACACCTGGTTGAATCATCGCCTTACCCTCTTCTCGCCATTCCGCAACCTGCAAATTGAAATAAAGTCCTGCAATCTATAAAGTGGCTGAAGTACTCGCTCAAATCACTGTTACACCTTACGGACTACGTTTGAATAGATTCATACGTCAGTTTTTTATTTACTGCCTACTACAATTTTTCACTGGCAGATAGAAAACTATCTGAGAGAAAGGTGAAACGAAGGACCCGCATGGTGTGGTGGTAAACGCATTAGCCTCTGGATAGGGTAATAATGCGTTCGTTCCCCACCGCAGACACCTTGGCCCGGAGTTTTGCAGATGTCGCAGCATCATTTTGGTTATATCCATATGTATTGTATGTGTAGAGATTATCAACGTTTCTCCATTTCCAAGGAGATTGAAAAGAAGTATCAGAAATCAAACGGACGTAGAAATGAAGAGCTAAATACGCAACAATGGCGTGAAAACTGATAAACCGAGAATATACTAATGATTGAAAAGACAGACGTTCGATTTTAAAAGGAAAATTTTAAACACCATCGCTTTTCTGATAGATCGAACTTTATCAGTCGAAATAAAAACTTCCATAATCAACAAAGTTTTGTCATGTCACCATCTTCTAAATCCTGGCTAAATAAAGGCTTCAATCTCTTTCTAGAGGTCATAGTTTTGGTGAGTAAGGTAGATTAAGCAGCGGTTTCACATTCCCACTTGTTCAGCTTACACTACTAGTTTTGAAACACGATGATTGTCGTCAGAAAGCAGAAAAGCTCTTTCCCAATGAGTGATGAAGAGCGTTTTAAACCAAGTTCTGATGAATATCTTCGGTTTTAGTGCAGCATATTTCTGCTGTCACAATTATGCTTACCTTGAAAAGGTTGTAATGGATAGTTATCCACCAAACAAATAGTGATCATGGTGTTCTTAACAAATTCCATCATTTTTACCATTGGTCTAAGCGTCCTCGACTGTCGTATAATATCCATCTATCATACTTGATAATAAAGGATAAAAAGGACAAAGCTTTCGATGTTGATCACTTCATGAGGGGTGCGCGCGCCATGCATTCGACATCGTTAAGTATCTTTAGAGGTGATTGAATGCATATCTGGTGTTTACAATAACTCGCTGTGGCCTACGGATGTATTGAGTCAGTACTGCTATCCTCCTAGACAAGTTTGGCACCAATTCACTGACCCCGGACAGATGGAAGGCTTGGTGGGCCTGAGGCGCCGAGATCGATTCGTGTGTATTGCAGGGCGCCTCATACCACTGCGCCACCCACGCCCTACGTGGTAACATCACTACGAAATAATTCTCTGCCATTCCAATGAAGTAGGAAAGACATCTTGCACCTTGCACCACAGTGATCCACTTATCTAGCTTTTTCGAATTTTCCAAGTGGTGTATTGAATGACGACTATTTGGGAAGCTTTTGTACCTATACTGTAATTTGCGAAAACAAGTGCGACTGATTCGTTTCCTCACGAAACTGCCTCTAAGTGTAGAACTGATATTATCTCATCGCGCCCACTTTTCGAGTTGAACGAAAATCATACGAATATTATATACCGTTCACACTCAGACTAAAAGAACCTTTAGCGGTATCTTCAGAGCTAACGATGACAAACCATCATATGTTAAGAAAAAGCAAATCCTGACCTTTAAAATGATTAGCAAAAAGTATTCCGAAACTTTCCTGATACAAAGCTAGCTAGAGCTTTTCATCGTGAACAATCATAGAAAGCACTCAACGGTTCTCTCGTGACATTGTGAGATCCAGTGCAAATAAAGGCTTGTAAAACTGTGAATAACGTTTCTGATATCAAAACTAAGTCATGTATAACGTAGAAAAAACGTAGATCTAGGCTATATGACTCGGTCCAGAGCAATGAACTACGGAGTACTCCAGGAAACGGCGATATCGATAAATAAATATGTAAGCAGAGAACAATTCGCTTACTGATCATTTCAGTTGCCCTAGTCTGTGTCGATATGTCCCATACTGGCACATTTTTCCTAGTCTTGTTTTCATTCTTCTTAAACAAAAATGGTACTGTCCCACCTTCTTATTGATCTGTTCACGAACTTCACTTTTAATTTCTCCAGTATCCCCGGTGAAAAGCGCAAGAAATCCTTGGCTGCGAGAATTTATGACATCAATTTCGTGCAGGCAAACTGTATGTACAACCTCCCTAAATTTGAGTAAATGAACATCAAATAAAAATAAGGATAAAATATGAGCCTGATCAGGTATACCGATGCCACAGTTATAGTGGAATAGTTACCTTGTTGTTTGAATTTCCCCTCTTGGACAAGGCACGAATTTCGTTTGCGGCCCCATAGCATCATAATCATGTGAGCGCGTTGCAGAACGACCCACTCGAGTAAGTCTTCCTAAAGATACACTGTTGCCTACCTTATCTTCAACTCATTTTTATGAGTTACCACCTATTCGTCCCCAATATGGCTCCCAGGTTATGATCCGTAATTCCTGCACAATCAGAGTTTTTATCTACTGAGAGTGTCACACAAGTTGAGAACTCTGCATAACAATAAAGCTCGGACTTTGACATACACCAGAGCCCTCAAAAGTCGAGTTCTCACAAGGTCACGCAATTAAGACGTGGCTGAAAGATGGATACTGCTGTATAGACCATTGCTGAAAACATAACCTGACCTCCTTGCTTACCTCACCCATCGTTAGACCATTTACCTTTACCGATCTCAGTGGACACTGAAGTTGTTTCAGAACACCATAACAATCACGACCATGTTGGTGCTTTTCAACCATCGATTGAACCAGACATATATAACAGTTGTAAGTGCTACTCGAGCTCATGACAGTAGAGTTTCTTCTATTTATCGCGAACCAGATCCATATGAAAAGTGTGTGACAAAGCGACACTATGCAAAAAATGTTCAACTGTATAACAAGGTGGATAGAGAAGTTGTTTGAATGGGATGACGAGTGTGTGCGCATGAACGAATAATTCCTATCAGAATTTCATTCCTCCGCGGCATTCTCATTTTCTTGAAAAGCGTCAACGAAGGGAGGAACATGGTTAACACGTTCGCAACAACGCTTAATTTCATATGCTTTTGATGAGTGAAGACGAACTGAACTTTGTTATCGAAATATACTAATAAACTTGCGAATGACGCCAAACTGTCGATGATAAGGTGGGTCGGATACGTAATGCGCATGAAAGACAACCGATGGACAAGAGCCATTTGTGACTGGATTCCTCGGGATGTCAAACGTACTACAGGAAGACCATCGATCCGATGGTCTGAGTTCTTCACGAAAAACCTAGAAAAAAAGATATTGTGCTCGACGAGTCCCTAGAGCAAACAGAACCCACTAGGCTATTATTGTACACCAGTGAAAAGTAGAAGATTTATCGGAGCTCGCTCGAGCCAAGGATGATCAACGGGGCAAAAGGTGGTATAGATGATATACACTCCTCACCGAAGATGAACAAGAAGACAGCGGAGACACCAAGAAGGACGAAGAATCTCTGGTGCATCCCAACGAAGAATGTGGAGAAATGGATAAAACGATAATGATGAAGATGGTGACAGTGGTTATGGACAACTACCGCACAATTGTACAAAAAAGTAGAGGCAACATGAACCACGTTCGAGTTTATAACAAAAGGCATTGAAAGAGTAATTGATCTAAAACCTCTCTACTGATTTAGTCATCCTGAAGCTCTACGACACAGCTCCTACTTTAGTTGACCCTTCACCCACTTCGCGAACCTTAGACACCACCACGGAGCTCTCGAAAGACGTCTTTTGAAATGTAGCCGGAAACCGCAACATTAATTCAGACCACGCAATTCAAATCTTTATAAGTAACCTAGTTTCCAATATTCGGAAGAATATACATCAAAATCTAGACATAAATGGTTCTATTATGTGGTGTGAAGAATTTACATGTAGGCGACATCTAGATGTGCGACGGACGACACAGCAGACCTCGCGAATGAACAAGAGTATATGATGGTGGTCGAACCACTTATGAAAATGCGCCATCCAATATACAAAGAAGTAAAACTGAGGCAATGTCGAGCAGTCTAATACACTGGACTGCATAGTCATATTCGTGCTGCATCTTACTTACTTATTTGGACGGCCCGTTTTCACTGGTTGTGCGGACCCAAGCATAATTTCCATTTTTTCAGAGCTTTGATGGTTTAGCCACTGCGGTTCTCTGGAGTCACGAGGTCGGCCTAGCCAAAGTCTGCCCCAAGTCGTCACCACCACAAGCGATGGTCGCCTTTGTGGATCCAAGGTAGATTTGCCACCATGCAAGTAGTTTGATACCGGGACGGTGGTGAATCCTCATATTGGTTTACTCCTAGCTGGACTTCTTGATGGAAACGCTAGACTCTTTCTCAGCTAGATAGACTCTGCTGGGGAATGAATCCTCCCGCTGTACAACGCAACCCAACACCCAGGAACACCTCCCATTCACGATGAGTGGGTAAACCGTTGGGATGCGTACTGTACCTATAAATTTAAAAATTTTTCTGGCTAATATAAAACAAAAAGTACCAAAAGTAGGAGAGTTATCACCTGAGCCTTTATCGATCTGAATAACATCGCCAGCACAAACACGCAACTTAATACACTGGTCAACCATTTTGCTTCCAAGATCGTAAATGGTTTCCATGTCTGTTGTTTTCAGTGATAATTTCCCAACCTAAAAGATTATGTCATATGTCACAGACACTGGCAACCATATGCAATACAGAAATTTTTCCTAAAAGAGATTCTGCAAAATACTTTTGGTCCAACTCCAGTAGCTGGCCTGTCCATTTCAATCGAAACAACTTCACCTTCGAGAACCTGTAATCAGAACCTGTTCGGCCTATCTCGAAAAAAACGTTACGACAAATAAGAAGCCATCAGTAAAGTGAGATAACCTCTGTCTCTTCTTTAATACGAACTCCTATGGCTTTGCGGAAAGCCTGTGTGAGAGCTTCACTTTTACTTATTTCGACTGAGAATATTTCAGATGCCGAAACTGAGACGAATGGAGTGTCCTGACCGAGAGCTTTGGCGATACCCATAGCTATGGCGGTTTTCCCTGTTCCTGGTTGACCATATATAAGGACGCCTCGTCCAGCGATATTACCTGTCTTGAAAATTCCTATTGAAAACAATCCCAGCATTTACACCGAAATGTTTACCTTTCTTTAAGCAGTACATAAACAAGGAAAAACCACTGATAAGACAGACCTGAACCATTTTCACCACTATAGCAGCGGCCTTTCTCGCTCGGATTTGTCCAACCATACCATCGGCAACATCTTCTGGATCGAAATTAGAAGCAACTCCAAGACCATGGATGTGTGAATGTGCTCCAACACGTTCTACACGAATAACATTCCGCAGTTCCACACCACCCACGAGAGCCATTATAACCTAAAAATAGGGTTATTCGTTCCCAACATTCCTTACACAAGGCTTCTGCATGAAAAATCGAAAACCAAACTATACACAGTTAGTACTCTCGCTCTACAACTGTTTATATATTTTTTCAACACACCTGAGGAACATATTAAAACGATTCAAAACCAATAACCTTTGCCAGGCGCAGAAAAGAATGAAGCAGAGAACGATTAGATAAAGGACAAACCTGGGCGTTGATCAACTCTGAACGATGCGCCATGCATTCGACTTCACTAACCATTCTTGGAGGTGATTGAATGCCCACCTGGCCTTTACAATGATTCTCGGCGGCGTATCGACGTATCAAGCCAGTGCTGCTATCCTCCCAGACAAGTCTGGAACCAATTTGCCAACCCCGAAGGGATGGATGGCTTGGTGAGCCCTGGCTGCGGATGCGAACCTATGTGTGTTGCAGGGCGTCTCCGACCATTGCTGTACATGTGAGGTGTAATTATGATGTGGAAAACATGGAAGAAAACTCGCACAAATCCTCTGATGATAAGCAGGGTACAGGTATTTTGAAACCAAGCATGGCATACTTGTACCCCTCGTACAAATTGCTTGCAGCTCTAAATACGAACAAGATTCTGAACATAATGATCCTCATACTCTCGAATACTATGTACATAAATTGCTTCTGGAATTTTCTCCGGTGGACCAGTTTTTGCAGGTACAATTCTCTCCATCAACGTCTCAAACTTGCGAAATTTATGCACATAAGTCATAATATGTCAGTAATTCCCATTGGTTTAAAGAAATTCAAAGGTGCGTAGATATCGACAGTGATAAAACACCTTCTTTTGGTCTGCGCACACTTAAACGCACCTTTTCGATCAAGAAGATTTACTGTAAACTTGCTAAAAAGTGTCTTATGAGATAAACAACAGCGAAAATAATTCGCGGAGAAACAATAAACTAAAAACTTTTTGGGAAGAAGGCTACCCCCTACAACACATACATGTCATCCGGATCCCTGAAACAAGTATGATATCCTTAAAGGTTCTAGCAACCCAATGCACCTATCTAAATTAACAACTGAATAAGTCTTCTAGGGAACGAACAACTGTTTCTTGGTAAAATCTACAGCAGCCGCTTCAAGAGCTTCAGTATGATCTTCGAAGCGGCGTTTCTGAAACTGAGGTGGTCGTAATTCGCCAGCTTTCATCCAAGCGCATAATTCTGTGTACATTCGTTTACGCTCCTTAAATAAGAAAAATTAAGCCAGTTCATCATATAACCAGTTCTCATAGGATCTAACCGACCTCCAAGTTTCCAGGATCTTCATACCACCGTGACATCCAGAAACCTGTCAAGCGAATATCATTGAAAATAAACGGACCTGTAGAGACCTAAACAGACCACTCATATACGGATGACTTATCCACACTATAATGTAGGTGATAAAAAAAATTGCAATGGATTTCGTCTTTAAAACAGAAACCTACCTGCAGAGGCATTTTGCTCATACCGCCATACGTCACCATACATCCACGAAATCCCAAGGTAGAGGCAAGCAATAACGTCGACTTACCGCCCACACAGTTTAGCGCCAATTTTACGTCCTTTATCTTTCCACTGCAACTCTTACTACTTATTTCTAAAGTTATCTGTAAGAAACGATATAGATCTACCGATATTCTCGAACAAGTTGATCTTCAGTGATAACTTCGTTCGCTCCAAGACCTTTTAGTTCATCGACAAGAGTTGCCATATCGTCTCTTTGCCGAACCACATTAACAGAACGAAATCCGCGCAAACGGCAAATCTAAAGAACAGTCAATCCCTTGTAAAATAAATCAAAGAAATGTGGTTTATTTAGTGGTCACACCTGAATCGCTGCCCTTCCAACAGCAGAATTCGCTCCATTCTGAATCACGGTATCACCAGGTTTTAAAACAACAAAATCCTTTAACATTCGATACGCTGTTGGTGGGTTCACCTAAAAGACATCAATGTTCATTTCAACTGCCTTTTTTAAAGAAACGTGTGTGGCGCAGTGGTCGGAGGAGCCCTAAAATACACATGTGATCGAACTCTGTTCCCAGGCCCACCAAGCCTTCCATCCCTCTGGAGTCTATAAATTGCCACAGGTGGAGAGGACTTGTTTGGGATGAGATCAGCATTCCTCCCAACAGTTTACAGCCTCATTGTGGCTGAGAGGGGTTCCTAGGTGTTGGACTGCGATGTACGATAAGGGATTCATCCCCCTAACAGGGTCTCACAAGCTGAGAAAGAGCCCGGTGTTTCCATCAGAAAGCCCAGCTAAGAGTAGTAAGCCAATACCAAGATCCACCACCATTTTGGCATCAAAGTCGTATGGTGGTAAATTTCCCTCTGATCCACAAGGACTGCGACTGCCTGTCGTAGTGACGACCTGAGGCAGACTTTGGCCAGGCTGTCCTCGGGATTCCAGGAAACCACAATACCTTTACCAGCAAATCTCCAAAAAATAGTGATTATGTTGGGGCCCGCACAACTAGTGATGACGGATCGTTCAAGTGTCAAGGAAGAGATCAGCACTGGCTTGACACATCGTTAGGCTATCGCGAATCATTGTAAAGGGCATATATGCATTGAATCGCCTCCAACGATGATTAAGGAAGTCGAATGCATGTCGCACTCTCATGAATTGACCAACACCGAGAACTTTACCCTTTGTTGTAAAGAAACACTTGTTTACCTCCTTAAACGCAAAAAGCTTTGTGGAAAGGAGTAGAGCAACGCGTTTACCAACCTGAATGCTGCAGCTATGTTCGTGAGACAATGTATTATCTATCTGAAACAAGTCAACTTCTTTATGATGACCGTCACTTCTCCACGTTCCATATCCAGCTTTCACAGAAATGACGTGGTCTCCAACACGAAGGCTTGTTACACCGCTACCAACCTCGAAAGAACTAAGTGTTGAATAAAGACACAAATTCAGCAAGAAGTAGCTGCTTTAACCACACGAATGTTAAGACTACAACCACATGCCCCCTACCACAAGAGACCTGTTACGGATAATTCTAGCACCTACGAATCTCCAAAATGAAATCAAATTGTGGGAAAATACCATCTTCCAACAAAACGCTTCTGTATTCTAACTATGGCAGTAATACCTTTTCTACACGGCCGTAACCTTCGTTACCTCCAACAGCTGGAATTGATGGCTTGACCGCATATACACCTTGAATCATGTTCAGATCCGCTGGATTGATAGGAGCGCCAAGCCACTTTACGTGAACATAACCAGCCGGGGGTGTATCAGGTAGAGAAACAGTCTCCAACTTCACTACCTATGATTTGCAATGAAATTTTCATGTTCCATCCATGCTGTTCCCTGCATCCAGAAAAACGAATAACCTTTGAAGGATTCCCATATTCGGAATATACTAGTTGCCTTGCCGAAAGCCACCGTATAGACAGTACTCCGGCGCGCGATGACAGCATCTGGCATCCCCTCAATCGGAAATTTAGCTCCAACAGAATGAAATGTTAGACAAGTGGGATACAACAACTGTTCATAGACTAATGAAGGAACAAACTTATTAACACTTTATTTGCACAAGAAAATGAATAACCCATCAAACAGCGTTAAAGTTACAAAAATAAATCATACTTGAAGGAATTATTTTCGAAAACGATCTGAAGGTGTTCTTTGAAAAAAATCCGAAATTAAGGAAAAACGACCTATCAGAGGATAAAAAGAGGTTTCTTGAAAAAGAAAACAAGAAAAACAGTGGCTTTAATAATTTTCGTAAACAAGAGCTGGAAGAAACCTATCATAATAAGAGATCCAAAATAACAAATGTGCGGAAAAATATACAAAGCATAAAAAAAACATTGAAAAAAATGGTATGGTTATTCTATACAACACACAAAACGAACACGCCAGCTTAGCTACTCGCTCTCACTGTGTCTTCTTTTCCTTTCATTCTTTATTTTGCTCGGAGTTTTATCACCTCCTTTATCTAAATCGCTTTCTCGATCACTTTCCGACCTAAAGATTTTTCTTTGGTCAGAATGAAAAGAATATCAGAATGCTGACATAAACAAAGTACAAGACAGAATACTTACCCTTCCTTCCCGCCACGCACAGCCGCCTTCTCAAGTAGGCGTTCACGCAACGCTTCTTCATCCAGACCATCAACTTTTGCATCCTAAGAGTTTCCGATGAAAGCTACGACATCGACAAACACAACTATTCAAGCTTAAAGGTACCTTAGGTTTATCTTTTTCCTTCTTATCTTTCTCTTTGTCTTTCTTACGTTCAGAACTCCGATCGCGCTTAGCATCCTAAGATTAACAAAACAGTACTTGAACAGCAACAAGGTAAATCAAATTGAACAACACAACCAATTGCAGAGAAAATAGACGGGCAGGATACACACCTTCTCCTTTTTCCGCTCACGACTTTTGCTTCTCTTCCTCTCTTTTTTATCCTTTTCTTTTTCTTTCTTTTTGTCACGAGAGCGAGAACGGTCACGTTTTTTATCGCGAGAGCGAGATCTTCGGCTACGTCGTTCACTAAATTAAAGAAACCAAAGCTTCACAAAGTTTAATTCACTACCTAAAGCATTTAAAGACTGTTTTCCACAGTCCCCACTACAGGCTGCACTATATGGACCAGAGTACTAGAAACCTACCGGCTTCGACTTCTCCGCTTCTCTCTACTGCGACTTCGTTTTTTATCGCGCGAACGGCTTCTCTTACGCTCTTTCGACCTTGTCCTACTCCTTCTGCGTTCACGAGACTTCGACCTCGATCGGCTTCTACGACGACGAGGAGATCTACTCTTACGACGAGGAGATGGTGATGGTGTACGGCGCCGACGAAGAGGTGAACGCGAACGCGACCGTCCATCTGGAAGAATGGACATGACTGCAAATACTTCCCATTAACAGCGACGAAGTGGTTCGAGATAATAAGAACTACACTTTGTCAGCTCCAAGAATAGACAAGCACAACAAACCGATAGTTGAATTAAAGTGCAACTAAAACAAATCACCCACTCTTTCCCATTCTAATCGCTTCCTCTACTTCTTCCAACGCTTGATCTGCAGATTTTGCTTGTGGCTTGATGATCGCAACACGGGAGTGCTGAATCCTGAAAGTTCAGCATTGCGAATTAGATACATAAACGATAAAGGATAACCCTGGATGAATGGAGGGCTTGGTGAGTCACGAGCGCGGGGATTGATCTTTTATGTATTGCAGGGTTGCTCTGAGCACTGCGCTACACGCGAATTAGATACATGTAACAAGTATCCGGATCGAAAAAATATCAGATATGTCGGCGGATTTGAGCAAAATTATAATACTATCCTACTTTTGTTATTTCCAAAGTGTGATAAAACAAAAGTGCAACAACTCTGATAAACTCCTCACCGTAACGGCTTTCCTTGGAAATCTATCCCATTATTCTGAAGAGCAATTGGTACAGAAGTTTGGTTGGTAAATTCTACGTAAGCATACGCACATGGCAAAGTATCAGGCCCGATGGCCATCCTCAAGTACATTACCTGAAATCCAATAACACCTGCTGCAACAACGAACTGAAAATCTACTAAACTTACCTCTCCAACATAACTGTTGAAAAAATCAAGAACAGCTTGACCATCAACACCTTTCGGAAGATTCCCAACATATATAGTTCGTCGGATTTCCTCCACCTTCGCTAGGTCAGTATTACCAGGAAGTGGCGGATATGTCGGTAATCCAAGCGCCTCCATTTGTGGATCCACTGTAAGCAACTGAAATAGAAGACAAGATTGTTGCTGAGAAATCAGTCTAAAAACAAAAACCTTACCACACCGCTAGAACTCTATAAGCAAGTGTGCTTACCCAATGAGAGAAATGCAAAACCTATCAGTTTACTTCTTTTGAAATGAGATTTATACGGCAAAATAGAACAACAATAAAATCATAAACTTCTCGGCGTTGATCAATTCCTGAGGAATGCGTCATGCAGTCGACTTCGTTAAGCATCGCTGATGATTGGATGCATAACCGGCCTTTACAATAACTCGCGATGGCCTACCGATGTATTGAGCCAATGCTGCAACCCTCCCAGACAAGTCTGGTAACAATTTACCGACCCCGGAGGGATGGAAGGCTTGGTGAGCCTGATGCGCGAGGATCGATCCCATGTGTATTCCAGAACGTCTCTGATCACCTGCGCTGCACGAGCCAACAGAACAGCAATACTATGTGGTAAGATAAATAAAACAGGTATTGGAAAAACCTTCAAAAAACACTTCAATAGCGCATGTACTTCTCTAAATTGGAATATACGTAGAAAAAAACAAGAGCAGTAGACAGTAGACAATAAGACTTAGAAAAGGTACTTACCACCGACGAGCCGTCATCCAGTTCCTGAACTCTGTTCGTCACATGTGGAGGTAACTGTCTTTGGCCAGCAGTGACTGGTCCTCCAGTACTTGTAAACGTTGCCTCATCAGGAATTACACCTGAGAAGACTCATTTAAAAAGATTCACACAAATTCTATAGTTAACGTACTTTGGAGATACGGTGCACAAACAACAGCTCGATCAATAAGGACAGTGTTTGTAAGATGTTGGCCAACTTCGACCGCTCGTTCGTCATCGTACTTGATGAATGCACATTTCGAAGTTGTTGCAGAGGTGATATTCATATCAGAAGGATACACCTAAAAAAACAATAAACCTGCTAAGGCGTTCCAACGTGAACTAGAGAGTGTTGGGGTGAGGATCGAACTAGCACCTTTGTCTCTTTCTGATCGACAGCACGCGACGGTACCACTAACCGCTGCTCAATCCCGCCCCGAAACATCTTTTACCGGCTAAATATTAACAATTTTTTCTCCTACATGAGTCGTCATCACATCTACTGTGCGGATCCCAGCACTTCCTGCATTCGATTCGCCTTCTTCGCATCCATCGTCAACTGCCAAGGTCTTTCAATTCTTCGCGTTTGGAATCAGCTACTGCTTAAGAAATTTGTCTTCCTAATAGATGTCGTAAAACGCCGGTTGAGACGATTCTCCTTGCACTCTTGGGGATACCCGCGCTATGGCGTTCCCACGTGAACTGGAGGAGAGCGTTGTGGCGAGGATCAAACTAGCGCCTTTGCATCTCCATTGGCGGCAACACTAACCACTGCACTATTCCCGCCCCTTTAATTGATTAAAACACTAATAAACACTAGGTAGTGAAAAAAACTTGTTCAGGAAACAGCTTATATGGCAAACCTTCATTTCCTCGATCCTACCGATGTACTGGAACATAGTGAAAATCTGGTCCTTTGTTGCAGTGACGGAAATGTTGGACACTTGCAGGATTTTTATTTTTTCCTTCTTACCGTCCGCACCCATTGTTGCCTGGAAGTTAGGAAACATCGTGGTATCTTCAATTTTGACACATGAGACCTTTATAAGCAGGCTAGAACCAGATGGCATTTCTCAAGAAGCCAACAATCGCAATCGAAGAAGCAGAAGCATTCGGGTACGAGAAAACAAAACATGGAAGAAAAATGATGTGAGAAAGCAACTATAGCAATAAAAAGTCGGCGCTGATCAATTTTTGAGGGATACGCCATGGATTCGACATTAAGCAATGTTGCAGGTGAATGAATGCATATCTGGCCTTTATAATGAGTCGCGGTGGCCTATAGATGTATCGAGCCAGTGCTGCCATTTTCCCAGACATGTTTGGAACCAACTTTTTTACCCTGGAGAGATGGAATGCTTGATGAGCCTGGGGTGCGGGGATCAATCTCATAGTAGGAGAGAAGTAGAAGTACAGGGAATAGCAGAAGTACAGGAAACATCTAGGCACGTGAAAATAGGGCATGGAAAGAAAATGCAAGTATAAAAAAGCAACGGCGGTACTACAAAGCAATAATAAGTAAAGTAATATTAATGAAGTAAAGTACTGAAGTAAAACCAAATTCAAGTGTAGGAAGTCCGCTGGGAACAATTCGTCGCAGGACCCACATTCTTCGGTCATCACCGTATCCTGGACGAGACGCGGCTCAACTTTCCGGTATAGGTTACCGTTTTAAGTTACTGGACTTTCCTTGTGTGAACTGTCACTTTCATTGGTTTTACTGATTGTCGAGGCAGGGATAGCGCAGTGGTTAATGATGTCGTCGATCAGGAAGCAACAGGCGCTAGATCCTTATGCAGCAGCTGAAACAACCCGCAAAATGTTCTAAGGACACTGGATGTTGGATGTGAGGAGAACGAATCGAATGCAAGAAGTGCTGGGATTCCCACAGTAGATGTGATGACGGCTCATGTAAAGTAAAAAGAAAAGGATTGTTGATTGTCGTCTTTATCCGCCTTCTATCTACGTTATCTTTTTACCTTATCGGAATGAGTAACCGACGAATTCTTGGGACCTTTCAACTTATTGTACTTCTTCTTACTTTCAGTTCTCACTTTCATCCTTTGTTTTTGGGGGTTTGATTGGCCGTTTCGATCTGATGGAGTCTCCGTGTTAATATGTATTCTTTCTTGATAAGCTTGCACGAGGTTGATAAATATATTATATATTCTCCGTGTTAATGTTAATGTCGAGGTTAATTGAAAATCGATCGATCGATCATTTCTTTTTCTATGCTTTATTCTCTCAGTTATCAGTGGCATTCCCTTCGTTGTTGCCATAGCTTTTCGAAGTTTCCTTTACTTCGTTCTTATCGACGTTTCCTAAAGAGCTTAAAGATTCCAATCCACCTTTTATGAAAGCTTTTTCAAACCACTTGTGTTCTGTATGTGTCTTCTAGGATTGTGTTTCTATAGAAGAAGAAAATAATGGCCGATGATGGAGTGAATCCGAAGGCCTATCCACTCGCCGATACTCAGCTGTCTCAGAAACTCTTGGACCTCGTACAACAGGCGTTAAACTATAAACAACTTAAGAAAGGAGCGAACGAGGCAACAAAAACTCTGAATAGAGGCATATCGGAGGTGGGTTTCAGAGAACTTGTTGTCCATTGTGTAGTAACCGTTCTGCTCACTTGTTAGCACAAAGCTTTAGGTGCTTTAGGTGATTATTATGGCTGCTGATGCAGAACCACTGGAGATTATCTTGCACCTACCTCTTCTCTGTGAGGATAAAAATGTGCCGTACGTTTTTGTGAGAAGCAAAGCAGCTCTCGGTCGTGCCTGTGGCGTTACACGACCCGTGATCGCCGTGTCGATTACTCAAAACGAGGGATCTCAGCTTAAATCTCAGATACAGAAGCTTAAGGAAGACGTCGAGAAACTTCTGATTTGACTGGAAATTGTTACTTGTTGATTGTGTACATGTGTATCTGTAGGATACGTCACTTCTCTTAGTTTGTTATGCTGACAACTCTGATGTTATAAATTTAAATACGCGTTGGTTCCTCGTTCCCATTCTTGGGGTTTCAGTATGGTACAGTTGCGAGTAAGAGCAGAGAGAAATGACCTATAGCGTTTGACAAGAGCAACTTGAAGTAGCTCTGGGATATATGACTGCTATGCATAGTATCCTCAAACAAGTCAAGTACATACAGTTCCAAAAACAGTTTCGTTTTGTGTTTCTCAGTGGAGAGATTTTCTTTAACCATAATCGTTATGATAATAGATGGTAGACAGATAATCACTACTGACAACGAACACATCTAGGGGCAAATCTAAGGTTTGGTTTATGAGGATCCGAGTTCGTATCCTTGAGATCTTGGAGATGAAAGAAGTAGCAGAACTGGTATTCACATTAGAATTTGTAACATTTAGGAGTGGTTATTTTATTTATTAAGATGAAGCTAACGTTTCCGTAGATTTTGCCTTATTCCGAATCTGAAAAAGGCAAATTGATTGCAGTCTATCCAACCAAACACCTCCGTAACCAAACAGAGGAATTGCTAAACAAGAATTTCAATCTTCACTTCTTAAATCCTTAGTTTGGATCTTGGTTTAGCACTTTCTGTGTTTGGTTATAGAGGTGTCTGACTGGCTAGATTACAGTCAACTTGACCCTTCCGGGCTCTGAGGAGGGCGAAATCCGCCGAAACGTCGGCTTCATCATAGTAAAGAAATAAAATAACACCTCATGTTTGCTTAACAAGAAAGTAAAGAACTATTTGATCAATGTCGAGACTGGTAGAAAGTCAGTCGTGGGAATCCAATGGAGAAGGAAGTTGAGACTATCTCTTGGTTTAGTTTTCACCTACGTGCTATTATATTTTGATAGATTTGACTGTCTTTTCCAGATGCCTTTCCAGGAACATTTTCGCAACGATGAGAGAGAGAGAGAGTTTGCTAACCATAGAGAAGTCTGAACGAAGATAAGAAAAACTACCCTCAGCAACCCACCCGCCCATGCGGTGCGTTGCCAGTCGTCATGGTGTCCGCCGCGTGTGAACAAACCATTGTTCCAGCTACTAGTATGATATATTCTTAGCATAAAGGGAGCCCTTATTATTAATTTTTGGCCTCTTCAAAACTGATTGTAAACGTGGAACTCTTTCTAGAATATCCTATAGGTCGATATCCATCCTCTATACACTTCAATTTTCCAGCTGAGCTCTGTCGATGGTTGCGGCAAAGTTGTCAGTGTTGTCGTTGGTGACGGCGATTGCTCTGAACTTGCTTCCTGGGTTACGTAACACCAAATTACCAACTCATATTGATGGATCCGTCCAGCGAGGTTATGATCAAGTGAAGAAGGTGTTCATGTAAGTGTACCAGTTAGTCTGATCTTGTTCTGCATATTCTGTGACGAAAGAGGTAAGGTGTCATTTGGTCTTACTGCTCCAATCTTTTCCCCTTACTTATCCCTTTGAGAATTCTGTTTCACTTGAATAAGTCGGAAAGTCGTCATATCTGAACATTGTTAGCTGGAATGTTCGCTTTCATGTGCTTTTTTGCTCCTATCGTTGTCCCGTTTTATAGTTTTCCATTTTGTCTCACATCTCTCTCTTGCTGACTTTAATCCATACATGACAACATGACCTCTGTAGGCCTCATACGTTGCGAAAACGATTGCCGTTTTCAACTTTGAAGAACCATATCTGGTCTGACAGTGAATTTTATCAACTGCAGTAGAAGCTAGTAAAATCTACACATCTTTGCCTGCAGGATCAAAGCATTTTTGTTTTGCTGTGATGAAGTTCTGATTTTCTGGATCTCATGACATGTATTTCTTCTATGAATTTGAAAAGTTCTGAACTCCGAAATCGCTTTATTTATCGAGAAGTCGTCAGTTGTCAAAAAACCAGCCTCATCGCAAAGGAGTTAACAATGTGCTTTCATTAAACCCTTCAATCCCAGTATCAAAAAGAGAGGGATGAATGCTTTCAGTCCTGATCGACTGCTTGCCACCTGTACTGATACCAACTTTTTATTTGACCATCCATGTCTGCATTGAGACAAATGGTTTTGTCAAGAGTTCACCTGTATTTCTGCCGAGCCCACCAGTGCTTGGTCTTTCATTACTCACTCTCACAATGCACTTTCATTTCATGAAATACGGCTTCACGGCTTCATTTTGGTCCTTATTGAGGTCTTTGCTGCTTGTTATCGAAAACAACAGATTTGGGGGATATACCTAACCTTTATTTGACAATCAACTAAATTCAGTGTCTATTATCAGAGTTTGTTAACTCCCAGTTAACTGTAGATAAACCACTTCCTCCTACCCCTACTAGTTTGTAATACTTCGTCTGGGAGGCGCCGATAGGGGTCAAGGACATATCTTCGAATGTTTGTCGGCTTTTTTGTAATCTTTAAGCTGGACCTTTGTTCATTAACCATTCAGCTTGCTAAGGACAAACCAAATGTGGCAGCAGTTAATGAGAGTTACCACAAAATCCTCGTTTCTAATGGTCTCTTCTAATACTACCCTAATCAGTCTTATCAAATGAAACAACTGTTTGTCTATCACTCTGTCCTATCGATTGGTTTCTTGCTTAATTTTGTTTTCAGATGAGTGCATAGATTCTACTGAATGACGTTTTTGTTTAGCAGAAATTTCGAAGACGGCTGGGAACGTGATGGCGCGTCGTTGGCGGTCTTCGTAAACGGGACGAAGGTCGTTGATCTTTGGGGTGGTTACGCAGACCACGAGGCAGGAAGGAAATGGAAGCAGGTTCTTAGTGTCAAGATAACACGCATAAGTTCTATGCAGCGATGCTTTCCCACTCCAGAACTGTTTTTTCAATAATATTTGCCAATTTGTGTATATTGAGCTAGTGAGGTTCATTCATTAAGGGTCACACACTTCGATGCTAGGATATTTGGATAACCCGTCTTCACTGGTTGTGCGGGCGCCAGCGTAATTTGCCCTTTTCCGGAGTTTTGCTGGTTTAACCATTGTGGTTCCCTGGAGTCCCGAGGTTGGCCTAGACAAAGTCTGGTCCAGGTCGTCATCACTACTGACAGTCGCCGCCCTTGTGAATCAGAGGGAGATTTGTCACCTGCAACTAGTTTGATACCGGGACAGTGGTGGATCCTGGTATTGGTTTACTCTTAGCTGGGCTTCTTGATGGAAATGCCGGACTCCTTCTTAGCATGGGAGGTCCTTTTGGGGGAATAAATCCTTTCGCTGTACATCGCAGCCCAACGGCCAGGAACACCTCATGGCCATGATGAGGTGGTAAGCCGTTGGCAGAAAAGGTCGCACACTAACGAGGAACATTTAGACTCCATAAAATGAGAAACATTAGCGAACAACTGGTGCTGTAAAGTTATGGGAGGATAATGTGTTTGACCGTTCGTGACTCTTGTTTTAACTAAGCGTTGTTTTTATACCGGTGTGATTCGAGCTTTATTCAGTGGGTTCTGTCATCCTGAACGGTATTGGGATTCACGTGTGGATTCAATTACAAGTTGGTGATTTCGCTTCCTTCATAAATATGCTTGAATGGTGGTCGAGAATGATTCTCCTTTAGATCACGGCATAACCTTGTTGGAGCGTTCCCAGTTCCTCTCACAGGTACTCGCCCACCTTTTTGGATTAGAGGAAGTTTTCTCAGATAAATCTGATACCAGTTTGCTAAACCTGGAATGAGTAAATGATTTATTGGGAAGGGGTTGAGTTAAACCAGTTGCCATGTTTATACTACATAGCGCTTCTAACCACACTCTCTCGTTCATGCATTTGGTTTTACCTCATGCAGAGTTAGCAGAGATGTTACTGTAAAAACGTCATGGTAGCTGAATAGTTCGGAAAGCTTGTAACGAACTAGATTTGTTATAATATGTGGTTAAGGCGCCATGATGATTTTTTAATTGCGTTATCTGACATCACTGAACACATTCCAGCACTTTCCCCGTTCGATTCGTTTCGCCGCATCCATCATCCATGAAGGTGTTCGAACTTTTAGTGAGTGGGTTGGGCTGCTCCTTGAATATTTTTCAGTCTCCATCACGAATGTTAATCGAGTCGATTCTCCCTGTGTTCTTGAGATTGCCGTGTTGAGGTGTTTCTACATGGATTAAAGGGAGTGAGCTTGTTCCATACAAAGGTTTTGCCAAATTCCTGACTGCGGAGTGGTGAGAGGTCTGGTGAGCCATGGCCGGGGTCGAACCAGCGCATGAGTAGGTTGAGCCGTCCGTGTAATAAGTAAAGTCACTACCACTGCGTCACCTGTTCTGTTGCTTTGATTTCTCTGTATAAAGTACGACAATTAATTTATTGGCTCAAATGGTCCTAAGAATTCCACTAAGGTGATGAACAGGAACTGTGAGCTTTATGTAGGAATAGCCAATGTTTATCTATGATGTAGGGGGAGAGTGATATTTAAAAACTACAGTAGGTCAAATTCCTCGTTGTAATGACTAGAAGGAGACATTGATGTAAGATTAGTGTCGTTTTTGAGGATACGATGTCAGTCACATTTTCTGCGACAAAAGCAGTTACGGCTGTTTGTGTCGCAGTGTTGGTAGAACGTGGACGTCTTCGTTACGATGACCTTATCTCGATCCATTGGCCTGGATTCGCCAAGAACGGAAAAGAAAACGTTACTGTGCAAATGGCACTTTCTCATGAGGTACGTCCTGGCTAAGATTAGATGATACAGATGTATGACCTGAGCTATAATACCTCGTTTCTAAAAACTGCAAATCAAGGATATCTATTTGAAAATAATCTAAATTCCTAATCATTTGCACCTACACTCGCTTAGTGGTGGGTCGGAAAATGCTGCAAGCAAAGCATTCTAGTCAACTAGATTTTCATTGAATGCTCATGATTTTGTCAGAATAACAAGAAATTCGTATTGCCTTTGTTCTCTCCCAAAGCATTAGCTCTCCTGGTGAAAATATGAAGTGAATTTTGCTTCTAAATCGTGTAAAACCTCCCAGGGACTTTGTTTATATAGTTAACAAAAGCATTTTTGAAGTTTGATGTTGAGGGATGGTCATTGATAGCACCTATAGGTTAAATACACGGCTAAGTGAAAGGTGAAGCGAGGGACCCGTATGGTGTGGTAGTGAAAACGTAAGCCTTCGGAAGGGCAAATAGCGTGTTCGGTCCTCACCGTAGACAACTGAGGTCGGGATATTTTGCAAATATCTCAACACCATTATGATTATTTTTGAAATATTGGGTGCAGTTTTGTAAATTTTGATGGGGAGAAATCGAAGATATCATTTGGCTTCTGAGGGATTTTTTTGAGAGCGGTCCATTTAATTGGCTTTTTTATCGACGGCAAGTAACCACAACCGATTGACTGTTGTACCGGTGTTTTAGTATTTTTCTTCCAATTCATCACATCCTATTTGAGAATTACACTGCCTACGCGTTATTTTTCTTCTTTTTTTCTTTGGTAGGCAGGACTTGGCTACTTGGACACTCCAATAACTGAGGAAATTGCCGCGGACCACAACAAAATGAGGGAGATACTGGAGAATGAGACTCCAAAGTGGGAGCCAGGGCGGAAGAATGGTTATCACCCTTACACTTTCGGATGGATTGTGGATCAAATTGTACGCCATGTGGACGAGAAACAACGTGGAATTGGACAGTTTCTTAGGGAGGAGATAACAGAACCGTATGGTATGGGACGTGAATTCTTGGTTTTTCATTCCTTTATTTGCCCTAACAATCTATCTTACATTGATTGATAGAATTAATAACAACTTTCCGGTGAAAGTTGCACTCAACTGTAGTACTTTATTGGCTTCACGGTCACAAGTTTTCATTACCAGCTATGAATCGATTGTTTATTTCTAGACATCGACTATCACATTGGTCTACCAATGCAAGAAGAGCATCGGGTGGCTAGGATTACAGTCCCGACTCTATGGGAGAGAATGAGCGAATTATTTTACGACTGGAGAGTGTATAAGTATTTCCTCGCGTTTTGGAAACTTATCAGAGTGAGCATTTAACTTATCTATTTATTTATTGCGGGGCGCGTATAGAGCAGTGGTCGGAGGAGCCCTGTAATACACATGGGGTCGATCCCCGCGCACAAGGCTCTCAAAGCCCCTTCCATCCCTTCGGGGTCGGCAGATTGGTACCAGACTTGTCTGGGAGGAAAGCAACACCGGTTCGATACATTGGTAGGCACGTCCAGTCATAATAGCCAGGTATGCATTCAATCACCTGTAACGATGCTTAGAGAAGTCGAATACATGGCGCATCCCTTAGGGATTGATTAACGTCGAGAGCTTTATCCTTTTTATCGGAGAAATGCATAGTTTAAACTTCTATGTACAATTATAGTTTAGTTTAATAGTATAGTTTGAACTTCTACATGCATCATAACTGGCCTGTCCGTAGCCTATCTCAGCAATAGGAGTTCAAGAAAGCATTAGAGAAAAAGTGCCGTAAAACGACAAACCTCTTTGCAATTCCTTGAGCTACCTATGATTACAATTCGGGAACGCCCCGCCTGGAAAGACCACAAAATTTCGTTCTTGCAGCATCTAAATAAGTATTTTGGATCGAAAATCTGCGGTTCACATATAATAGAGGCTGTTGTCTGCTTTACAACCACAGTATCGATGCTGTTTCTCGTGGTGTCCTGGAAGTACGTCATGTTCCACATGGTCTCCCAACAAGAGAACTATGCTGGGTTATAAGATCCACTCACCAGGTGTTGCCGACATAAGTTTTCTCTTGCTGCCGTCCACTAACCATTACGTCGTTGTATAAGTTCCTTTCGTCCTCAGTTAAAAGAATATTAAAGAGTATTAATTGCTCATTTTCGTTCTTTACAACTGGTAAGAACGAATGATACGAGTTCTTTGACCATCTGTCAGAAATGATTAGCAATGAAGACTGTTTCCATGAATTCATTGTCAAGAACTTCGACAGTGGAATGGGAAAGTCTAGTAAAAGTAAGCGCAGTATTGAACAATTTGGAGCACGGGTATCATATGATGGTGGGAACTATCTCGTTGGGCTTTTTTACAAAGCGCACTTCTTCATAGAAATTCACTTTTTTCCAAGGAAAGATGGTCACCGTTGTACATGGAAATCATCTGTTGACATAGCTCGATTCGTGTATTAACTGGGGACAATTATAATATTCGGTTAATCGAAGAAGACCAGATCGAGTATTCCGAACTGTCAGTGGATTCCGATACACCAGTTTCTGAACTTTTACTTTTAGCACTTACAGCGCTACAAGAAAATTGACCGGAACAATTAAAAAAGCAGTACTCCAATGAAATTCCGTTAGTTTCACAACCGGCTTCTTCCATGATAAGAAGCTGATAATGAGTAAATTCCAATAAGAAAATCCTACTTCATCGCTAGCCCTTTTTCGTAGCTGAAGCATCACTTTTTCATCCATCTAAAACCATTTCCCGATAATCATGTTCGCTAAGAAGACGCCATTAATACTTTTTCACTACATCCCAATCCCCATGGACTGATGTTTCAAATGTGTTTCCAAACCGACTCTTTAAACCTTGGTGTTAATAAGCACTACCTTCTTGGATTATTAAGTTAACATGAAAATGATAAAATGATTTGTTCGGCTAACGCTTCGAAGTCTTCGTTTTCCTCAGAGCCGATGATCTGAGGCGATGGTCCACACATGCTCATCTTCTCAATGTGGCGCCGTCGTCGTCGTGTCGAGTTGGATCTTCCTCAGTGCAGCACCACTCGAATTAGGCTACTTCATCCGGCAGCGCTGTTCTATACCGGAGGTTTGTTGTCGATAATGATTGTCCGTTGACTACAGTTTGTTTTTCAACGGACAATCCATCCTGTTGCAATCGGTATTATGTTAGCTAATACACAGCTGATAGCAAAACAATATTTTGTGTAAACATCTTTATGAACTTCGTATTGGCTTAATAATCCAAGAAGGTATTTTAAATACTCCATAGTATCACAATGTTGGAATTTTTATTTACTGCCTGTTATAACTTTCCTGGCAGGGTATGATGTAACCACTATGAAACTTCATGATGTGGAGGTGAACAGGTTAGCCTCCGGAAAGGGTAATAGCGTGTTCGATCTCCACCGCAGGCACTTTCGATCTGGAGTTTTGCAAATATCTCAACACCATAGTGGTTGTATATCACATCATACCCTGCCGTGAAAATAATAACGGGCAGTAAGTTAACATTGTAATTTCCACTACGGCGTCAGCTTAACTAGGTTCAATGCCGATTTGTGCTCCCCACACTCACCCCGTTGACGGGTGATTGCTGATGGCACTAATCTATAGAAAACTGGCTGAAAGAAAGGCGAAGCGAAGAACGTCGTGTGGTGATCCCTGAAAAGGGTAAAAGCGTGTTCGATCTCCACCGAAGACCCCTGCGGTCCGGAGATTTTGCAAATATCTCAGTATCATGGTAACTGCTTGGTATCTTGAATTTTATGGTGTAGGTATTTTCTTATATTCTACTTCTATACTTTTACTATAAATTTTTTTCGTAGGATACACCTCTTTCTCGAGCTGTCAACAATCCATCGTGGCTGAAAGCAGTGGACAAATGCACAATGAACAATCCCGAATACCATCGTCTGGAGCAGGCTGCCGCGCTTGGAATTGGAAATGCACGATCTCTGGCTGCGCTTTTTGATCTGGTACAGTTTTGCCCGTGTGCAGTTTAACTAAAGTAATAAATCCTGATGGAAAGTGTGGGACTACTTTCTCTAAAAAAATCAGTATTGGTAAGCGTTTCTCGACAAAGTGCAACATGAAATTGAAAGGAGGTACGGAGTGCGGAAGTGGGAAGAGTTTAAAGGTCACATGTGGTGTGTCAAGGTGGTCGTCATTCTCGTTGCTCTCATTTCAGGTGATCTCAGAAAAGCTCATAAGCCAGAAGGTGTTGAAACAATTACAACATCATTATAACAATGATACTGACTTAATTTTTGAAGATACAATTGCGAAAGGACACGGCTTTATGTACCTCCCTCTTCACCGAGCTGGGGTGAGTTTCATTTATTTTCTTGAAAAATTTGTTTACCTACCTTTGCCTTATTTATTCCGTCTCTATAACTAAGAGTACTAGAGCAAACGGTGGAATAGCTCAGAAGGGAATCATACCAAGCATTATAAAAAACGAGAACTCTTACCAAACCAGAGTTATGGAAGGAATCTTGATTCATCAGATGGCCTCATTCACCAGATGCATCGATCTATTGTTTTTAAGTAGTTTTTAGCACTATTTTTAGTAGGTCTAAGATTCAGGCTCATTGTTTCGTGTTGTTATGGTCTTTATAAATAATGTGAACTCTGGTACTACAGGAAAGAAACACTAGTGGAGCCACTGTGGATTTCATTATCAGGGTCAGAATTCTGTATTTCAGACAGAATTTTTGGTCGGACACCCAGGCCACGGATGTCAGCAAGTTGCATACGATCTGAAGAACAAAGTAACAATTGCGTATGTGAGTAACGGACTAAAAACTGGTCTTTACAATTTATGCCGAACGTACAGCCGACTGCAGAACTCCATCTACGATATAGTTGAATCACGTTTAAATAGTCGTCAATCTCCTAGCAATTGAACTTCTTCGTGGAAATATTTATTAGACATAACAAATCGATGTTTGCAGATGTACTTATGTGCATAATTATTAAGGTGTTCTACGGCCCATTAGCTGTCGTGTGAGATTTCTACGGTGAACCAGTAATTTTTCCTCGGTGTTCATTTATAATTTTAACTTTCCAACTCTTCGCTTTAGATTTTAATTTTTACTGTTGATACACCAAACAAGTATGAGAAAAAATTGGTCCCAGAATTATAAATGCTGCTGTGGTGATAAGTTTATAGGATTCATTGAATGGAAATGAATTGCTAACACAGCTGAACATAAGACACGTGACAACGTAGTTGTAACTGAAGTTTGCGAAGCTACTTTTCTTGGCAGAGAAGCAGCTTCGTAAGAACCTCATCTGAAGAAGCGCCTTTCGTCATGGTAATGTTAGTGGACCATTACTCAGAGTGCGCAGGAGGATCTTCTCGACACTTTCGCAATGACGCTTAAATTTCGGCCGCGACGGATATGACTCCATTAGGAGTCATTCCGGCCATAATGTCCGCTCACGAATTACTCCATGTGAGGTCACGTCGTCGCGAAAGTGTTAACATTGAGTATGTATGCATAACCTCTTCATAAAAATGTGTTGCTCAAACTTTTTTTTATGACGAATCATTATCACTCAGTGTTGTTTAGCTATTTTCTGAACTATTAGTGGTAGGAAGTTTATTTTGGAACCAATGTTGCTAAGATATGTGTGATCACAGAAATACAGATACAGTTGAATTATGTTGTAATTTTGATTTTGTTGCAGTAGATTACAAAATTGCTTGGAGATTCGTTCTTTTATTGTTATTAGATGAAGATTAGCATTAGTTCAGGGTGTGTCTATTTCTTGGGGTAGAATTTTTAACACAATCTTTTCTTGGCTGAATTATTGAACTGGTCCGATCAACGTTTAGAACAGCGTAATTTGTTATAGTATTTGGTAAATGTTAAGAAGTGCCGAAATTATTCCACATTGTTATTATTATTATTTCTTCCAACGGTTTACCGCCTTATCGTGGCTGGGAGGTGTTCTTGGATGTGGAGCTGCGATGTACAGCGGAAGAATTCATCCCCCAGCTGGGCCTCCCAAACTGAGGAGTAGTCTGGCGTTTCCATGGGGAAGCATGTCTAAGAGTTAACCAATACCAGGATCCACCACCGTCCTGGTGTAAAAGTTCTAAGAGTAAAAAACTGAGGTGGGTGTAGCACAGTGGTTAGAGACGTCTTCCAATACACATGGGATCGAAGCTCGCGCTCCAGGCTCACCAAGCCTTCCATGCCTCCGGGTCGGTAAATAGGTACCAAACGTATCTAGGAGGGTGTGAAATAGCTTTTATACAGCACTCAATTGAACCCTGTGTTTGCTTGTGACGTAGGATATAAGTTTTTTTGGATTCGAATGTTCTTGAAAACTTGCCATTGTTAATGGATACTATCCGAGGCATTCCTCTCATATATAACAGGTTGATTCAACCAGAGCTGTACTATTGTCTGGATTCTTTCGCACTTTCCAGGATTCATCTATTATTTGCGCTTATTGCCGATTAGCGCTTCCCAGATCAATCCCGTTGACGGGTGATTGCTGATGACACTGGTAGATAGAAAACTAGCTGAAAGAGAGGCGAAACGAAAGTCCAGCATGGTGTGGTCCAGCGCAGACACTTGTGGTCTGAAGTGTTGCAAATATCTCAGCATCATTATGGTTGTAAATGAGCAGTGTTAAAAAGAGTGGTGAAAATCTGAAAAGATTCATACTTCTCTGTTATATTAATGGACGATCAACAATTGTTTTCATAGAAGGACAGAGAAAGTGTATGGGAAGGTTTCTCTCTGTCTCAACTAACAGCCAGAGAGCCTTGCAAACAACAGCGAGGATGGTAGTATTTGTTAGCCTTAAACATGAATCCAAAGAAAATGAGGTCAGCCATACTTTTTCACAGTCACATCGCAGGCGTACTCAACTTGGGTTAACTGCTTTGTCAGCGTGGTATACCAGCCAGCAAAAGAATAAAAGTCATTGAAGTCGTTTGGAGTTTCGCCAGCTACTACAGCCGCATGTGTGCCTGCACCTTAACATCTACCGCATAACTAACTAAAGGTTAGTTAGGCCCAAGACATGATTCATGACATATTTCAAAGGCAGCCTCCATAGCGCAGAAATTTAGAAGCGAGGAAAAAGTGTAAGAAGTAAACAAGCCCACTTTCAGCTCAGTTCACTCCTACCGTTCTTGCAGCTGTCGAACAATGGAAAATGTACATGAGACAAGGAAGGGCGGTTTTTCAATCAATAAATACTGGAAACTATCAAAGAACAAAAGCTCTTGTTTAGGGTCTTTAAGCACCAGTAACTTTTCAATCGGTTGTGGTTGTGTCTGATAGCACCATTCCTCAATACCACTCCTTGTGCATTACTAGTGAGAGAATTTTTTCCTCTCCAATCCTATTGTAACAATATCAGAAACCTCCAGGCCATCGTAACTACAACTTATTTTTGCGAAGAATGAAGGTTTGTCTAGCTGCACTAAGATTTTTGGCAACAACAGTGACGACTTCTGAAGCATGCACCCAGTCTATTCATTTTCTATCTATCTATGTGAAAAGACTTTAAATATTTTACCGATGGCAATACCTCTTTTATTCCGTATGTTGTCTCGCATTCTTCACCGACAAAGGTCGTCGTCGGTTTTGGGTGTAAACTTGGTGGCCACTTGAGCACTTCAGCTTCTTCATGAGCTAGGTTGAATCCTGATCGAAGTGGTTTTTTCTAGAATCCTAGTACTACACTACCGAGGCATCCGAGTCGATCACCACATACACTTGATCGTTTTCGTGCTCGGAAAGAACTGTTCCTATGAAAGTCTGATCCCAACTTGCCAACTCTGAGGCATAGGCGCATGGGAGCCTTGGTTAGCCATAGCCGGCGTTTAGTGATTATTGCACAGAATCTTTAAGAACTACTGCTCTTCATTCGTCTACTGGTAATGGCGAGGTTGCCATTCAGCACAGCTTTACTTTTTTACAAATGTAACACATACAGCACAACGGTAACTACGCTTCGGAAGTTTCGCCTTCTTCAGAGCTTGGAAGTGTACGCCAATATGTAATTTACTAGATCAAACGCTTCAACAGTACAAACAGAAACATGAAAATCTGAACAATAATTACATAATTAATTACAATAATTAATTAGCTGAGAGACAGGCGAAACGAAGGACCCGCATGGTGTGGTGGTGAACGCGTTACTCCTCTGAAAGGACAATAGCGCGTTCATTCGCCACCATAGACACCTGCAGTCCAGAGTTTTGCAAATATCTCAGCAACGTTGTGGTTGTATTTCGCTTAGTAACCTGCCATGAAAATTATAGAAGGCAGAAAACAAAACGTTGAACATAATAATTACACCATCACCGGCTTCTCAAAAAACCCACCGTTTTTACCTGTTTTCTACTAAGGAAGAATAGCCGCTTAGAGTCGCATATGGTTGATTGCTGCACCACCCTATACCAAAAATCAGTTTTGAGATACGCGGCTAAATCACGCGTAATCTCAGGGCATTCTTCCCTGCTATTCATTCTCGGATTTTTGGAATTTATCCAAAAAGCTTCAAGAAATTTGCGCGTTGGTGTTCTAGTCTCCTGTTCGAGGAGAGCGACTTTTACGTCAAAATCTTTTCCATTATGTTTTTGCATCCTATGCGTCCCTAGTGGCGTGCCTTGTTTTGATTCTCGTTTACCAACTAGGTGTTCTTTTATGCGATTACATAAAAGTCTGCCCGTTTCGCCGATATATTGGTCTCCTCAAGTACTACAAGTAATCACGTATATCGTACCTGAACTCATGCAGTCAATGTCTCTGCCATAAGAGCAAATTGCGTAACTCTGTGTCTCACATAAACGGTCGTATAGGCGGTTCCGACCTAACTGGCGACGAAGAGTATTCGGTGGTATTTCAGTTATCGCTGCCGATTCCCCTAGATCTGCTCTTCTTAAGCATCGCTTTATCGATACACTTATTTTATAGCTAATGAAGGGCAAGATAAACGGGATTTTGTTTCGGCCAAACCGTTCGCTTTGGGACGTCGCTCTCCTTCTGAACTTATCTCGCTGGGATATGAATGCGTCGTTTTCTTGTTCAGCAATCTCGTTGGGTTACTATTTCCTAGCGATTGGAGACAGCTATTTGCCTAGCCAAGTCGCGCGATTATCTCGCAAAATCACTCTTTGTGTGTGAAGGGTGGAAAGACGGGAAATGAACCAAGATCTTTTTGTTACTTGGCTTTCGGTACTACTTTATCGTCTAACCGCTACTTGATAAGTTGACTTGAACGTTAAGAAATGGAAACCAGTTAGTTCTGTTTCGGTTTCTCCTGAGTGAACTTGATGTACTCAGACTGCTCGTTCAGTAATTCAAAGCATTTGTCCATCGCCTGTTGTGTAGAGAAGGTAACAAAACAATCATCTATGTACTTGCAGCAGAGTAGTGGCCGGAGGCAGAGAACGGAAGCTTCTACTTTAGACATAAACACAATGACAAGGCTTGGTGCCAGTCGCTGCCCCATTGCTAGACCCTTTATTTGCGCGAATTATTTCCCAGACCATCTGAAAATCGAGCGGTTTAGGCACTCTTTTAAGAGAGCCATAAGTTGCTGGATAGACAAGCCATGCATATTTATTCTTCCTTCCTGTTCTACAAGAAGTTCGAAGATGGCTTGCATTGCGGAGTCATTCGATACGTTGGTGTACAACGCGGTAACGTCGAAAGACTGCATCACGTACACGTTATTAAGAGACCCGTTACGTAGACGTCTAGGAACATTTGGGTATTCGTGAGGTGAGCTGGAATATGTCTAAGCAATTGGGTTGGTATTAGGCTTAGAAACCATGTTATCCTATCCGTTGGCCCGTCTACACAGCTGATGATTGGTCTAGTCTTAAATGAAGACGGATTAGTTTACGCAAGATCATCAGGTGATACCAACT